ATATATTGATGAATTATAACTGTTTACCAATAGCGTGAGTCAAAACGCTTGTAATAAAATAGTGATTCCCGTTCAGTACAGGAACATAGCCCATGCTGTTTACTAATCTGTGTCTGAAAATAAAAATGGGGAACTGCCCATACTTTTTGACATTTTTCACTTCTGTGACAACTCTGGGAATAGCAGGGCTTGATTTCCAGTGCATCACCAGTCTGAGTCATAACAATAGATTATATATATGATGTATCATCATCTTTTAGGACATTAAATTTTCATGCAGAGGTAAAATACATTCCTGGTTTCAGATCCGTGAAAGAAACTTAGTTTTTTAAAAAAACAGATTAGGAATTAGTTTAGAACAGTGAACAAACTACATCATTTCCAAGAAAGCGCACGATTTATGTTAAATGCCTCGATCAGATAACTGCAAAGCTAAAAAATGTCAAACTTCATGAAACACAGAAAAATTGCCTAGCAACCACTTTCAGTTTGAACTCAGTTCAGAAGAATCCAGGCAGAAGGGCAGTCTATTAGACGGGTAGAATTCTCCAAACTTGAGTTTAGTTTGTGAAGGCCCCAACCTATGAGAATATGCATAAAAACTTCCAGGCTGTCAGAAGGGGAAAGGACAACAAATCATCAGAACTGGAAATAAGCCTCTAAGTCAAAAACTGGACAGTCAATTTAAAAACAATAAAGTGTTAAACTAGTAATGATACTACATTAGCACTGAGCATCTTCAAAAAGGATATTGTTAGGAAAAAATATCAAAAAACTTTGTTTTGCTGTTTAGGTTAAGATCTTCTCAAGCTGTGCAACCCCCCACCCCACCACACACACCTTTTGACAGGCCTTTTCTTGCGTAATAAACTTGCATTCATTTGTCCAAGAATATTAGTAACTTTGTGAGAATGTGAGAGAGTAGTAAGGGTGTGGAATGCCCTGCCTGCAAAAATAGTAGACTCGCCCACTTTAAGGGCATTTAAATGGTCATTGGATAAACATATGGATGATAATGGAATAGGTTAGGTTAGATGGGCTTCAGATTGGTTTCACAGGTCGGCGCAACATCGAGAGCCGAAGGGCCTGTACTGCGCTGTAATGTTCTATGTTCTATGTTCCATGTTTCAGTCAGTAAAGTAGTTGCCATTGTCCTACCAGACCATCGAGCTGCTCTCTGAGCAGAAGGAAGTGACTTAGAGTGGTTTAATCAGGCCTGCAGCGAGGTGAGACTGAAGAAGAGGCCTTCATGGTAGCCTCAGGTAGTGTAGGAAGTGAACCCATGCTGTTGGCAACACTCTGCATTGCAAACCAGCCATCAAGCCAACTGAACTAACCAATCCCTTCTGCCACAAGCCACGATGGTAACAAACTGCAAACATCAGCGGTTAGCACTGCTGCCTCAGTGCTAGTGAACCAGGTTCAATTCCAACCCTGGGTGACTGTGTGTGGAGTTTGCACATTCTCCCTGTGTCTGCGTGGGATGCCTTTGGGTGCTCCAGTTTCCCCTCAGTCCAAAGATGTGCAGGTTAGGGCAGTCTAGATGGGTTAGCCATGGTAAAATGCGGAGTTAGAGGGATAAGGTGGGGGTGCTGGGTGGGTCGGTGCAGACTCAACGGGTCAAATGGCCTCTTTCCACGCTGTAGAGACTCTAATTCCATGATTATGATTTATCAAACTGGTTTCAGTTTTGAATATCGGTAGCCCAGGATTACCAAGAACCGCGATTTATTTACTATTTACCACATACTGAATTAACACAACCTCAAACCCACCATAATTGTGACACTCAGTTGGCAACTGGACTGTGATCCCATTACTCCAAGTTGGATTTGAGTCTAGCACAAGATCAAAGCACAGTATTTAAATACAGTGACATGAGGTCTTTTATTTGTATCTTTTCCTAAGAAATACTCTATATAGGAAGAAAGAAACTTTTATCTTGGAATATATAGACTGAAAATCAAGCATAAACTTTTTCATAAAAATTGGAAAGGAAAATTGGTTCTTCCATAAAACACGTACAATTGTTATTGATCCACCTCAAAATCAAATGCTTAACCTCAAAGTTGATAATAAATATCTTGAAATATCAAGATTAAATGGTTTACACAGAATATTGGAGAAACTCAGCGGTTTTGGCAGCATCTGTGGAGAGAGAAACAGAATTAATACCAAGTCCGGTAGGATTCTGCTTCAGAACTTTTCCGAAGAATAGTAACTTGGACTTGAAACATTAGCTGTTTCTTTCTCCACAGATGCTGCCAGAACTGCTAAGTTTCTCCAAAATTGTTTGTTTCAAAATTCTAGCTTCTGCAATATTTCTCTTTTATTCTAACACTAAATGCTTTTACCAGTTCATGGCTAAATTTCTGATTTCAACAGGCATCTGTATTGAAGGACAGTCCTATAAGTGGTATTTGGTGAGGTAGTGGCCTAGTGGTAATGTCACCTGGCCAGGTTCAAGGACATAAGTTTAAATCCCAAAACAGCAGACGGTAAAATTGGAGTTCAATCAAAATGTAGAATTAAAAGCTAGCCTGGCTGCAACCATATAATCAGGGCTGACTGTTTTAAAAACCTTAGTCTTCACTGATGCTATTTATGGAAGGAATTCATACCTGGTCTAACCTGCATGTGACCTTCGACCCACTGCAATGTGGTTGTCTCTTAGTTGCCCTCTCAGATGGCCAAGAAATCCATTCAACTCTAGGTCAAACAGGGGTGCACAATAAATGCTGGCTTAGCTAGCAGCACCAGCATCCCACAATTGAATAAAAAAAAAAAAAAAAAATCACAAAAAAGATCATGATACATATTCATGGCAGTGGCTAACTTGAGAGTATTGAACAACTAGCTAATCTTTTTAAGAAAGATGCCAGGCCACAATTTTAAATTCCGACTAATATTTCATCAAGAAAATGGACTGCCAAGTTCCTGAATTTAATGTTGCCATAATACAGCTTCAAATGCTATACAGTAATCTAGATTTAAATGCAGCAATGCTTCAGCTGATTTACTGCCAAGAAATGAAGGCTGCATGCACCAGCTCCCCCATAAGAAACAAAATAAAAAAACATGTATGGTTTGTCTCCAAATTATGTGCCTCAAATGAAAGTAAAAAGGTTTCTGTATGACTGTTGAAAATTAAGTTTCCCATCTGAGCTTTCAGAATACCATGCAAGGCAATGGTAACAAAATAGACATCATAAAATCTACATTCACAGAATTTAATAGATGTTGGCTAAAAAGTCAATTAGAAATAAGAAAAAGGGACATCACCTTTCATTTAACAGTTTGCTATTATTCAGCCGATGCAATTAAAACTTGTCAGTTCTTAACTGTGATGTCAACATTTGAGACTATTAAAGTAAAAAATTATTCAATTATTTGCATGATAATGTTTTGAATTCAGGAGTTAAATGTACCGATGACAAGCAACCAGTGCATTTCAAAACTTTGTCTTAAAATTACGAAAATATCGTGCACAATCAGAATGAGACATAATGGCATCTCCTCACTATATATCATGATTTACAGCATTTATCACAGAACTGCAAATAAAACTCAATGCAGCAATCCAATTATATTAGTAAGTTTAGCATTGCAAAATGGTATGTTTGTAAAACTACAGTGAAATATGCTATTTTTCAAATTAATACACCTACTTTAAACTATTAGATTTGCAAACCAAGATGTACTGACTTTATGATAGCAGATTATGTGTTTAAGATGCAAAAGCAATAATTTATCTCAAGTAAAAATCAAAGCATTTCTTTAGGTGCAAAGTTCTTATACAATTGAGCACTAATATTATGTATAGCATGCTTAATTCCTTCAGTTATTAATTGCTCATATATGGGCATGGTTGATTTAATGGGGTAATATCAGTAATAATGCCTCTCCTTTCAAGACATCTTATGCTTTTTTCACTTTCCTGACTACTTTGCAAATGTTATAGGATATTTATGCCATCAATTTTCAATTCACTTTTCAAAAAAGGCCAGGAAGCTTATATTTAAAGCCTTTCAAGCAGCAAAAACTGAGAAAAACATTGCCCAAAATGAAATACTAACATTTAAAATGTGAAGCATGGAGAAACGTAGAGTTAAAAATTGTGCCTTATGTTTAGATTTGATCATAACTTGTGTGAAACTGATTTTTGTCTGCTCTGTGAATCAAAGAACAGTGGCTGTGGCATATGACTAGTAATTCAAGGTCAATTTTAGTAAGTTATGAAGCAAATTCAATTACATCCCTGAAAACTATTGAATTTTGATAAGGACCCAGTTGGTTCGCTCATGATCTTCAGAGAAAGGAACTTGCCACACCTATGGAGGAATCTAATCTGTGCTCAGTGCAACATAACTAAGGCTGGGCAATGAATGTAAGCTGGCCAGACATCACGACAGTGTTAAGAAATAGAAGAAAAATGAGCATTACAAGCCATACTCCCATAGATCCATTTCGTATACTTCCAGTTAGATTGAAAATTAGAAAAAAAATTGTAACCCTCAATTGAATTAAAAGATGTAATTTGGTGATTTTATAACTGAAAGCAAGATCAATCATTGCACCACTTTACTTTAATGTATGATAATTTTTTTTACCCATTTTGTGTTAAAAATTCTGAACTATTCTATTCAACACATGTTGGAGTTGAAAACTATTCAATGATTCACCCAAGGTAAAATTCTGCTGAAAATGTGTGTAGCAAACTTCATTGACAACAAAAATATCATCAGTCTGACTGCTCTATTAAAGCGCCAGACTAAAGACTCAGGTGTTGATAATTAAAAACTCACCTTGGTTTAAGTCTACAATAAATAATTTGCTTTTAAAACATTTTTTAAAAAAAGCATTAGAAATTCAACCAGCATGCTGTCCAAAGGAATGCATTGCAAAAGCTGTAATAAAACAAAAGTACAATAACAATCTTCACTTTGTAATGGCTTCATATGTAAAGGCTAAATAAAACACTCTAGTCCTAGTAGTCTTGCCTGCTGCACTTCCAGAACGCGCAGAATTGATGATTGCAAGAGCTTTTGAAAACCCCACACAATCCACGGAGTACATTACTATTTGCTGTTGACTATGCTCAGGTAACCACCTTCCTGTCAAAATAGACAAATATCAATCTGCTGTTGGAAAAACATGAAAGCAATACATATGATTGTGAACAGTGGATACCGAGCATCTCATTATCATGCATTGCTTTTATTTCTGTGAACATAACTATTTGCAAGTGCGGACTTAGTGCCGAACCAAAAAAAAAATGAGAATATGGATACTAACTTGCAAATTTAAAAAAAAAATTAAAAATGTTTACGTTCTGAAAGGTTGGAAAATTAGAGTAAGTTATTTGAAGCCTTTGGTTTCCTAAATAGCATAAATGCTAAAAACAAACTTTATTTTAATATAGTTTTCAGACCATGTATTTTACAGTACAAAGATTTTGGTCCAAACTACCTTTACCTAAATTTACAGTTCAACTTGTTTTCACATCTGTGAACATAACCCTGATTCTAATAATTTCTCTAAGAAATGCGCAACATGCCATAGAAATACTTAAGAAAATATCAATGTTTGGCTTTGCTGAAAAAAATGAATTTTTGGGATGAAAACATGGCAGGGTACTTAACAGCCGGTTTTGTGGAACATGTACAAAATTTTCGTAATAGCCACAGACTTCCTTGAAATTCCTAAAAGTTTGCCTTTTAATATACAACATGCTTTTCGCAAGAGGACTATCTCACCATGAATACAAACGCTAGCTATTGGCATGCTCTCAGTTCTTAGGCAACTGATAACATTTACATAGAAGAGATTAACTACTACAACATTAAAATGGTAAAGTAGAGAAACAATCCACAGCTCAATCAGGAAATTTTGTACCTAATTATAACAGCATAACACTAAGAGTTAGTATGGTTCAAATTTACATCTGATATATTACATTTTTCAGTTTTGCATTATACTAACACTACTTGCTACCCACCATTCAAAAAAAGTAAATTACTGTATTTCCTCAACCAATGCATGAAAGATCAAGTCAAACCTAAACAATTCAGCCTTATTGTGTTTAGCAATAAGATTACTCCTAAATTAAAAAAAAACATGTCTGAAGTTTAAAATAATACTTGGAAACATTCATTGAGCTGAATTCTACAATAAGTAGATGGCCTCAAACTGCAAATAATTTTCAGTCAATGACCTGCTTTATTATTTTCTGGTTAAGTTAAAAATGTCTGGGTTTCTTGGGACTGTCAACAGGTGTAGCAACATGCAAATTACCTCAATAAAAGCTAAGTACTGTGGATGCTGGTGATCTGTTATAAAGACAAAGTGGTGGAAAAAAAAAATCAGCAGATCTGGGAGCATTGTGGAGGGAGAAACAAAGTTAACATTGAGTTTAATATGACTTTTCCAGAACCAAAAGAATGCTGCAATACCTGCTGAGTTTCTCCACCACTTCATTTTTATTTCAAAATTCTCCTGGGCACCACAGTAATGCCTTCACAAGCAAAGTTGAGAGAAAAAAAAACACAAAGCTGCAAGATTGAGCCGGTAAATCAAATGCTGTGGGGACATGCCGTAAAGAAGAATATGACAAGACAGACTACCAAAGCTGGGTTATGAAAAATTACCAACAGTTTATGAATAATTTCTTAAAGGTTTACAGTAATGACCTTAGCCACTTTGACTCTAGCCTACGTTACACGCACCTTTGAAAAAACAGAAAATAAGTATCCCATCTTGCTTTCGTCAGGACTGAGGAACTTCAACTTAGATTTCTAAGCTTGGTTATTTACATGTATTACCCTTTCTGCAACCCCACCCCCCAACTTTTTTCCCCCTATGCTCCACATCTCTGGCGGAGATGAGAAATGCTGGACAAACTGGTGCTTATCTTATTTTACTCTTGACGCCACTTCCAATTAGTCACACAACAGGGGTTAACAATTCTCTCACAGATTTTCCCAATCTCACATTGAATCAGTTGCCAGATTTCTGTTCACTTGTTGTTCACAACAACGCAAAAGAAGATCAGGATCTGTGCATTAACTACGAGTCTGCACCCTAGCATGAACAAAAGTCCTAAAACACGTTCCACTGATATTCTTCCCTTCATATTCAACTATATCACCACCACTGGAAATTGAGAGAAATCATTCATTTATTCCTCAATACATGACAGCTTTATTTAACATTTCTGGTTATAGACACATCCGACCATCCTACATGTAACAATAAATTTTTTGAATATAATTTATCTGCACAAAGTAGGTGACTTACAACAGGGAACAGCTGAACTCCTCTGATAATTAAACTAAAACACCAGCCCCAATCTGTTATGATGGAATTCGAGATTCCCCTCTAATAATTACCCCCGAAGCTCCCAAAGAAGCTGGGTTTTTCCCTTCATAATCTATATAAAAAGGTGGTTAAAAGAAAGAAAATCTCTGATCTCCACTTTACAAGTAACAAGAAACAATTCATTTACTTAACCCAACAATGAACAAATTAACGAAATTACTAAAAACTGACATTCTACTGGAATGCTGTTTAAATAAAAACAAGCCCCACTAATATAAACCCAATTAATAAGAAGCAATAATTTATAAATTAATCTCTCCAAATTTGCAAGACTGTCGCACTGAATCTTTTGTCTTCTCCACTCTCTTCACAAACACCTTTCTTCTGATAATTCTGCTGCCAGGGATCTCTATAATTTCTTCAATAAGGACTTTGAGCTAAAATACCGTGATACGTTTGATCAATTAGATGGGCTCTCTCAGAGCTGAACGGTGCTAACTCTGGCACGTAGCGGATGGCTCTCTCCGATTTTCCAAATGCCCTCGTCTTAGATACCCATAATGACATCATCAAATTCTTATATGCATGGTTTCAGGTTGTCAATACCATCACATTTAAATTCAATTGGCTTTCTGTATATAGGTGCTTCATTTAAATTAATTGGTTGAATTCAAACTCAGTATCACAACATCAAAACAAGACTGCTGTTTTGCCTGCCACCTGTTAAGGCTTTTTTGATACACTTGTTTCACTTTTTGAGGGCTTTCTGTACTGGCAACTTCAGCTGCTGCTCACAGATACGGAATTTAAAAAAAAAGTAAGTACAGGTACATCACAACTCTCTTAAAAGAACCATACATTTTAGTTTCCTGCCTTCCACTCCACAATTACTCTATCCAACTTCACAACACTTACACAACACAACTGTGCGCTGGTCAGAACACTTATTAAAAATACTGCATCCTTTTAGCTCTTCTGTCAATTAATTTTAATAGTACTGTAAGTGCCAAACAAAACAAATACAACTGTCTGTATAGTTAAGATTGAAATGATCCGGGAGTAATAAGCTGAAGATTGAATTGCCATGACTAAACTTCGGAATGCCGCTCAAATTGATACAGGAAAATTAGTCAAGACTAGTTAAGGAATCTCTCATTAATTTGATTTACAAAAGTTGACAAGTACAACAAAATCGTGAGGATAAAAACATTTGAGAGAATACGAGCAGGACTCAGCTGTTACTTTGCACAGAAAAAGCAAACTATATGGTATACAATGAAATCTTACTTTCTTCATTTATGTACTTATGAAACTGAAGAAAATCTAAAATTCACATTTTTGATGACTCAGCATCAAATTATATAAGGAAATTCTAAACACAAACGTTATAAAGACATAGCAGTAAAGAACACATCAGGAAGAAAAGTTTTATTATCTGCCTTCAAAGTTTTTAACTAGAATATAGTGTTATTTTATAGCTTCTTTAGCTACAGAGAGGAGGATGTAGTTTATTATAATGTGAGTAGTTAAACTAAATGCTCAAAAACAAATTAGCACAAGAAATTCTAAAAATATAGAACTGCTTCTTTAATAATCAGTCGAGGTGGTCAACATTTTCTCAAAGCTGCACAGTGCCGGAGACTCCAGAGATAGCAACAGGCACACTGACCCTATTTGCAGCACTGACTTCCAATTTTGGAAGTTGCTGCTGTGTATGGACCTTGGGAGGTCCAAGCAGAGAAAACAAATTGCGGGAATGCTGGTGGAGGGTAGAGTAGGTTAACAGCCTGAAATTTCTAGTCACAACTGGAAAAAATTGATGAAAAGTTCTTAAATGGTGACTGATCTTTCCCCAGTATTTTCAATTTATTTCCATATTGTAACTACACTGACCAGCATATATGTTGCTGAAACACAAGACTATAAATTTATGTGAGGAACATTTATACAGAATGCAGGTGAGAAAGATAAATGAACAAACCTGTTACAGGCTTAGGTTGGACTTGGTTCTTCAGAGGTTGCTGGGCACCTCCCCCAAAAACTGCAGCCCACATTTTGCTATTGAGGGGATGAGCTACAAGGCGGAAGAGCTCATTGCTGGAGTGCGTTCCCAAGCCATGAGCAAAAAGACTAAGGTAAACCGCTGTCAATACCTCACAAAGTAGGACTGTCAATTTGGGTTTATCCTCATCTCCAGCAGAATTCAAGAGATGAATTAGTTCCTTTATACCTGTGAATTGAAATATTCAGAAATTAATGCATTTCAGATTTCTTTGACAAAGATGCATCTATTCTTAACTTTTAAAAAGGAATATCTTCTGGAAATACTGTGTTCCTTGGTTATTTTTTCCCCCCTTATCTCTCATCCTAAACAGCAACACTACTAAACAATGCTAGAAACGGTAATAATGTAGAAAGAGCATGCAGTTACGAAGACAAATATTCATTCGAAGAAAGTAGTAGACTATTGAATCATGAAAAGTAAGAACATTTCCAGAACAAAGATAACTAGCTGGAAAAAGTGTAGGATACATATGGTAACAAGTCAACTGTGTTCATTTTTCCACCCACCTTCAAATTTGCAGCAATCTATTCAGTGGTAAGGGAGGTCAAACATAATAAGCAATTTGAAGTTAAACAATACATCTGCTGAACAGAAGTATATATAGCTATTACCTGGCCATTGGTCTGGGGAAGTGTTGGGAGTTACAGTGCCATCTAAACTTGCTGCTCTGTTTGAACGTTGCTGCGCAAACAGAAAACTCTGGTATACCATCCCAGTGAACTGGTTTGCATACGAAGAACTGGAAAAAAATAATAAGGGTTTACTTTCGTATTACAGCCATGGCTAGGCTGATACCACTCTTGTTTCTGAGCCATGCATTTCTAGTTTCAAGGTCCACTCCAAGGATCAGAGTACAAACATCCAAAGTGACATTCCAGAGTAGTGCTGACAGAATTTTGCTCAGTCAGAGGGGCAGTCCTCTTAAACGGACATACAAGATCACATGACAAAATTTCTAACATGTAGGTAGGAATTATTCATGATGTCTGGCCAATATCTATCTTTCAGTTAACCGAAGAACAGCTGACCACTACCACATTTCTATTTGTGGGAGCTTACTGTCTGCAAATTCATGGCTGATTTCTAAATTTACAGTAGTGACCATACCTTCGAAAAAATTAATTGACTCCAAGGTTTAGAAGTGGCCACTATTTCTGAAAGATATTACAACATCAGGGCAGGTTTTGCTTTTCTTTCATTGAAATATGAGCTGATCCTCAGAATGGCCATCAATCCAGAGTCTCAGATCAAAAAGGAAGTAATCAAAAGAAAACAAACAGCATGTCAAGCAGTGATATATACAAAGTACTGAGATTAAGACAACTTCTGAGATGATGAGTGGGGATGGCTGAATGGAAAAGATGAACAGGCATTTCTAATTATCCCATCAATTTTAATTGACAAGTAGGCAATCACAAAAGCATATGTATATGTGTTGCATGAATTGTTCAGAACAAAATTGAGAACAATCGTTGATGGATTTGTGGGCCTGTTTACAATTGCAGCAAGAGTGCAATGCAGCACAGCAGGCCAAGAATATGCAAAGCATATAATCTAGTTACGTGAGGGTTAGGAAATGGTGGGCGAGGGTTCTGACAATACAGTGAAAAAATGTAGGCAATAATGGCAAATTGAACAGATCAATACACACATGAAACAGAGGGGTAAAGGTGAGGGGAGGAGCAGGCACAGAATTGGAGAGAAGCATATTCAGTCAAGTGTGGAACAAAAAGAAAATGAAACAAAATCACTTAAAGTGGACAGTGAAACATGGGCATGTGGAAGAGGGACAATTATGGGCTTCAATTTTCAATTACAACACAGAACAGCACAGCATAGGAATAGGCCTTTTGGCCTGTGTCTGTGCTGACCATTGTGCCATTCTAACAATCCTATCTACCTGCACATGGTCTGAATCCCGCTATTTCCTACCTGTTCATGTGTTTGTCTAACATAACTGCTTCTGCCATCTCCCCGGCAGTACGGTCCAGACACCGATCATGCTTTGTGTAAAAAAAAAAAAAAACAAACTTTCCTCGCTTGTCTCCTTTAAACCTTCCCCCTCTCACCATGACCTATGCCTGGTCGATTTGACATTTCCACCCTGGGGGAAAAGACGACCGACTATCCACCCTATCTATGCCTCTCAATTTTCTATACTTCAGGTCACCTCTCAACCTCTGATGCTCTAACAAAAGTTTGTCCAACATCTCCTTAAAGCTAATACACTCCAATCCAGGCAATATCCTGGTAAACTTCTTTTGCATCCTTTCCAAAGCCTCCACATCGTTCCTGTAGTGTGCAGTTCTGGTCCCAATACAATATTCAATTAATTTATTTTGTGCAAAGCTGAGTGAGCAAGAAAAGAAAGCCATTTGAGAGTGTTATAACATAAGTCTAGGTAACTTGATAATTGGAACTGGGAATACCAGTGGATTAACAGTTCAGCCATGATGTGGGAGGCAAGGTTCAGTTGTTAAACTGAAGAGGTCGGGAAGACATTTGATGGATGAGTCTATGCATAATCAAGATGGGGTGGGGGAAGGCGAGAGGAGCAAGCAGGGAGAATATGATCACTCAATCAAGAAGAAAGAAAATGCCAAAAGAGCACAGGATAACCAAATGGACAAACTAAATAAAAAGGTACAATGAATAGAAACAAGAAGTACAATGGAGAAAATATATCCAACCAACAGCAGATGGTGCACAATGAATATCTATCATTTGTACGGAAATGTGTTGAGAGATGAAAAAACAAAACTAAGGAAAGATTTTGAGATTTCTTAGCACTGTTCAGAGTGCTCTGAACTCAAGGCACCTCTTGTGCAAAGTCTGAAAGAAATCATATTCATTGTGGGTTATCGTAAATCAGAATTAGTTTAAAATTCAGTGTATTTGAATCAAAAATAGTCCTCAAACCAGTACTTAAACAGGTCAAACATATCAGTCTTATGCCGAGGGGGCTACTGCAGGGTGCATTGAGCCTCAACCTTCTTTGAGATAGACAAGTGAAAAACGACAGGATTCCCACTCACTACCAAGTAACTTTGCTAGAAAGTGTGTATGTGCAGACACAATGATTCTACACAAAAATCAAAACTTCTGCGAAGACTCACTGCTTGTAAAATAATCACTTGGTACCAGATTTTGCACATTGCCTGGCACTCATGAAATTAGTATGCTGTGAGGATGAATATTGTCACAAGAGGGAAGAGGAGCAAAATGATCACAAAACAAGTTCTGCCTCAATACACACCATTTCTACTTACCTGTAACTATGGCCATCACAAAGGCATTGGTACAGGCATGCAGACAGAGAAGCTGCTACAGTGTGCATTACATAGATCTGAAAGAAAAAAAAAGCATCAAGTATCCGGTTGGAGCAACACTATATCACTAACTGCTACAGACAATCCTAGAAATTCAATTTTCTATTTTAAACACAGTGTACAAATATTTTGTTTGAAAGCACAAGATTACATAGTTGTGAGATGAAATACAACATTCTTCATTCATATTTTAAGCCCACTTTAATGCGCCAATCAAAATAAGAAAGGCATTTTGTTTTGCTTGTCATTTAATTCCTAAAGAACCATATCAAAACACTAGTGGTAAGCTAATGAAAAATTTAAGGAAACTCAGCCCTAAGGCTTTAAAGCTGCACAGGCCATTCCAGAACAACGAAGTGCAGTTATAAAGTTAGTTAGACTATGTCACACTAATGGTTTACATATGAAGATAGTCTCCAGGCTGTGAAACGGTTCCGTTCTGGAATCCATTTGCAAGTTGGACCAGAATGCAGGATAACATAAAGCAGCTAAGTACAGGAAATGTCATATGTTGGGTCTTTAAAATTAAACCCCTGTATGGGATCATGATCTAAAGTACAGGTGTTCATAAGTCAGGGACCCCCATTTACAAAAAGACAGTTAAAGAACAAGAAGAAAAGAACAGAAAATGCTGTAAACACTCAGATTGGAAGTATTTGTGGAGACAGAAAAACAGAATTAAGTGTGACAAGTCTGTGACCTCCACTGGACAGTTCTTCAGCACCAGTGAAATTTAGGGAGAATCTGAACTACTTGTGCTCATCATATTATGGCCCTAGATGAACATTAATGCTGTTTTAACAGGTTCTTGCAAGTCAAGTGGTAGAATAAAAGAATTAACACAAGTGATCGCCAAGAGACAACCACGCAGGATAGACTCCATGATAGTCTCATATCAGTAGAGATGGGCAGGACATGTCTTTAGAAGGTTGGTCTCAGGACTGCCAAAACAAGGGCTTCACAGACTTGCGCCAGAAGTCCATTCACAAAAGGAACAAAAGGAAGATTTTGAAGATCCACAAAAACCTTCACAAAAATCTGCTCTATTAAAATCAACACATGGGATACAGATGCTTAATTACAACCAAAATGATGAGCCAACAAATAAGAAACAAAGAGGAGTAGGTCATTCAACTTTCAAATCGGTCCTTCCATTCAACAAAATCATGGCCGATCAGCCAGCTGCAACTCCTTTTTTGTGCCAGCAAAGCAGAGCTGTCAACTCACTAATACTTCAAAAGTCTACGTACTGCCTCTTGAAATGCTTTAAATAACTAAGGCTTCACAACTCTCTGAAGCAGACAACTCCAGACTTTCATTACCCTCTGTAGAAGAAATTCCTTTACTCCAGTTTTAAATGAGCATCTCCTTAATCTCTAAGTATGTCCCCTTGTTCAAGACTCCCCCACTAGTGGAAACATCTTTTGCACATCTACTCTGTCAAGCCTCATTAGAATCTTTCAGTATGATCATCTCTTATTCTTCTATGGATTCAAAAATATAGCGTCAAGAACTTCCAATCTTGAAGGGGAGTCACAGAGAGAACAGTGAAAGAAATATAAAGATAGGCATGCAACAATCATCACAAGGTCTCCTGGTTAACAAACAATTTCCTCACTGAGGATCTGCAACGCTGTAATTGGGACTTAGAAGTCATTTGTGAACTCGCAGTCAGCATTGGCATATCACTTCCAACCAGTTATCCACAGGATGCCAATATTGCAGTCACATGCACAATGGAACTGGAGTTAACTATACTTCATTTAGGTCTGTTGAATTTTTTCATGATGACGCAGTTTGCTAATACCTTAAAAACATTTTCATTTAGTGCTACCGGCTTGTCTTTATGCCACAATAGATAAAACCGCCATTATTGTCCATCTGATGGGTTACTGACTAACCCAAGCGCCTTCCTTGTGCCTCTATTTGCTCATCGTCATTCAGGGGGACTCCACATTTATGCTTCTTTTCTGTTTATTCATGAACAATGATCTGAAAGCATAATGAGGTACACGGTGCTCATCAATTTAAATTTCAACAGTGAAGAAATAACAATTAATATAAACTTGTCTTATTTCACAGCTATTGGATCAACACACTTACAATCATTGCTAGCTAAAAGGCCAACAGCTTCCTTGGGATAATGGACACTTTCACTATTACTGGTCTGGAAGCTGCACTGACAAGATAATTTTGCTGGGGTAACAGTGTGGAGTTGGAGTAACACAGCAGGCCAGGCAGCATCACAGGAGCAGGAAATCTGACGTTTCGGGTCAGGACCCTTCTTCAAGAATGGGCTTGACTTGGGGGGTGGAAGAGGCCTGTGTTTGAAGGCAGGCACCAGCAAAGTTTAGTGTATTTACTGCTTTTAATGTCAGATAGGGTGGAGTGAAATCGTAGGTCAAGGTTGTGGATCCTGCACAGAGGTCCTTTGCAGGTCTGGGAGAGGCAAGCTCTGAGCTGGGGTGGGCTTGATTGTAGGGCCAGAAAATGCCGGCATATTGCTGAGAGCATGTGCTTGAGGAACCGCAGAGAAAACCGTTTTTGGAGGATCTGGATGTTTTTTTATGTAGAGGTTGTTGTGGTGAGGGCCAAATTGGGATGGCCTGAATGCAGATTGCAGTCCATTTGGAATGATCCGGTTCTGCAGGCAGGTACTGAGAAAGGCAACGTGGCTGTAGCACCTGGTTTGCTTCAGTATGTGGTCGAGCAGTTTCAGGGCCGAAGAGATTACCAGAGGGTTTCAGTAGGAGAGAGATCCACTGATGTCTTTCTGGAGGAAGGAGGATAACTTCAAGGTAGGCATCCCTAGAAGAGGCTTCGCAGTGGGGTTATAACTCACTCAGTGATAGTATTGACTTGGGGGGGTGGAAGAGGCCTGTGTTTGGTGGCAGGAGCCGGTAAGTTTAGCATACTTAAGGTTTTTAATGTCAGATAGGGAAGGGTCCCAGCCAGAAACGTCAGCTTTCCTGCTCCTCTAATGCTGCCTGGCCTGCTGTGTTCCTCCAGCTCCACACTTATCTCGGACTCCAGCATCGGCAGTTCTTACTTTCTCTGGCTTTTGCTGGGGTGACTGACTTGCCTTGAACTGAACTAAAAATCTTCCACTAGGAGAGAAATTCAGAACTGACCTGCAGGAGTATCTGAACTCAACAGAAAAATTTGCTTCTGTGCTGATTCCTTATTCTGAACTGAACTAAAAACAGAACTACTGGCCTTAATGTGTTGACACTGCTGTCATTTAACACAAATTAGAAACATTTTTCCATCATCACCGCAGAGGTCTGGAGTGACGTTGTCTGAGTAAGGCCGGTTTTAGGCCACTGTTCCAGAATGATTAGCCGATCTTTTGGAACTGATCCACAGCAATTTGCTTTTGCTTTTTTAAAATATCCAACTTTTAAAACATGTGTTACTCATCACAATGGTATGAAAGGCAATATGAAGTAATCCATCTTATGACAAGAAAAGCATCAGTTTTTTTTTGCATTTTGGAATGGTGTAATACAGGACATTGAGATAATTTATTCAATTCTGTGCCATCCCCTACTAAATGTTAATCAACTGTGTTCTAGCACTGGGTTTCTAGTCAAGATTGACTTAGTTTTGTGATAGTACCATTAGAATTTAGTTGTCTGTCCTTTCTTATAGAGTAAGATTTTAACTGATGCAAGTAGCAAAATCACAAAAGCACAATGGAAAAGTTCATTTGCATGAAGGATATAATTGCCCAGAGGTCATGACATGTCAAGAAGCAAAGAAATAGACAAATTCAGACATGCTTAAAAGTCTTGAGAACGTGGATTACCCCAAGGAAGTTGTTGGCCTTTTAGTCAGTAATGACTAAGCATGTTGATCCAATAGCTGTGAAAGGGGACAAGTGTATATTGATTCTGTTATTTCTTTATTGCTAAAATTTAAAGTGATGAGCACCAAGTACCTCATTATGCTTTCAGGTCATTTCAACAACTACCTGCATTCCCATAGAGCCTTTTCTGTAACAATATATTCTCAAGTACTGTAAAACACATTTTATTTAAATAATTACTTTTCAAGTACAAGTTGCTTCCTTTGCTGGTAAAGGTGACAGCTATTTGAATAAAGCAAAAATGAAACAAATATAAACATTCACTCCCTCTGTCATTGATGCTTAGAAACAGTGTGTACCATATACAAGATCCACTGCACAAATTCAATGAAGTTCCTTGGTCAGCACCTTCCGATCCTGCGACCACTACCATCCATAAAAGGACAAGGACATCAAATACACGGGAACACAACTATTTGCAAGTTCCCCTCCAATTCAATGATCCTGACTTGGAAATATTCGGTTCCTTGAATGTCGCTAGGTCAAAAATCCCAGAAATTCCTCTCCAAAGAGCATTATGGTCAACCTACACTAAATTGACTATAGCAGTTCACCAGCATCTTTGACAGCAACTAATTGGGCAAATGCTGACTCAGCCAGCAATACCCACATACTGTGATTTTTAAAAAATTGTAAGGTTCCATGGACTGTGCTTCAGAGGTTTCAGCATCCAAGAAACTTACAATCCTGCCACCACTTCATGATAACTCTAACTACCCTGAGACGGAGATCCAAATCAGATATGTTCAAAATTCAGACCAAGGTCAAGCAAAGTTTTGTGATGGCCCGCATGCTACAAATGGCCACCTCACAATAGCTATTCACTTTATCAGTGAGAATACTGAATACCATCTAGATGGAAAACTAACTTCAGTGCCAAAACCAAACTGATTGGTTTCAGTCACACTAAAACCCACAGCAGAAACTACTCAACCAGAGTTGATGTCAGCATCAATTGAAGGACAGTGAATGAGAGATACATTGAAGCATTGATGGTTAGCGGTGCTGCAAAGGTTGGTATGAATGCCACTGGGATAAGAGAGAAACTGTGGAAATAAGTAGCTTTAGATAAACGCGAAGTTTTAACTCTGCTGTGGGTGAACCTACAGATTAGAGACATACGTTTGGTTATAGAAATTATGCCCAAGCATAAATGTTCAATATATCAATAACTATAATAAAGATAAATGTGTGCAAGAAAACAATCCTTATAACAACACATTATACACAATAACACAAGCGAACTCCATTTTCTATATCCTCTTAGCTTAAAATGAATAATGCAGTTGGCTACCCATCACTGCAATGGTCAAGTCCAAGGGCAGACTTTTTCCCCCAGAGATGTTGTGTTAGTTGTTGAGTACTTTCAGCATTTCCTATATTTGTTCTAGCTTTCTAGTATCCAAGGTACTTTGGCATTTGCCTCACCAATTTAAATGCTGCTTCATGAATATTATATGAAGCATCAAGGGAAAACAGCAAATAGATTAAGGAAATGTGGACAGACAAAAAGCTTTTCAAAAGCAATAACCATCTCGTGGGGAGAACAGTAATCTCTAACTTCTCTCTTCCTTGAGCTGGAATTTAGTAACCTCACCATAAATTTGAAATGAGGTGCTATCAATTTGTACCATTCTCCATACCTTTTAGGAGAAATTCCAAATTTTCAATAATCTCAAACCCCACACACTTCAATTTCTACCGTATTCATCATATTTCTTCCACAAAACCCTGGGTCCAACTTGAAGTACTGTGAGCAGATCTGGGCACTACATCTTAGCAAAGATATATTGGCCTTGGAGGGAGTACAGCATCGGCTTGAAGAATGATACCTGGACTTCAGGGGTTAAGTTTGAGGAGAGATTATACAAATTATGCCTGTTTTTCCCCTAGAATTCAGAAAGTTTAGGGGTGAGCTGATTGAAGTTTTCAGAATATTAACAGGAAAAGACAGGGTAGATAAACAATTTCCACCGGTTGGAAATTCTAGAACTGGCGGCAGAGTCGAAAAAATTAGGGCCAGACCATTCAGGAAAGACATTAGGAAGCACTTCTACATACACGGGGTGGTAGATGTTTGAAGCTCTTCCACAAATGGCAGTTGATGCTGGATCAGTTGTTAAATTTTGAATCTGAGATAGATACACTTTTGTTCAGCAAAGGTATTAAGGGATATGGGGTAAAGGTAGGTACACAGAATCAGGCCACGATCTCATTGAATGGCAGAACAGGCTCATGGGGTTGAATGGCCTAATCCTGTTCCTATGTTCTTAAAACACTAAACCATTGCTGTACCTTTGGCTGGAACAGAAGGTAACTCTCATTTCAGAACTGCATAAACGACTGATGACCGAGGTGCCCATCTCAAAACATGAAAGAAAGGCTGCAGAAATTCTGTCATATGTAATGTGGAGCTAGCTAAAGGCAGCAGCATTGATGCATCGCTACTTCAATCCTTGTTCACCAGTAGTCTTACACAGAGTTTTTGCTGGATCTATAAATTTGTTAACCTCTGGATTTTTTGCCAATTAATTTAATCAGTGCTGTCTGGCTACTGAGTCTAATACCACCAGAACACCTTCCCATGATCTGAAGGTTCATGCTCTTGGTGCTATTATAAATTCCTACAGCCGCATTTAGAAACGTAAAAGCTTGACAAGATGTATACACATTAAAAGAAAAATCAGCCCAGTTTTTGAATCCTACTTGCAATATTAACTTTAAGAAGCCAACTCGCTCACAAAGCAAGGTTAAACAGAAGACAAAAGTTGCAGAGGCTTGAATCCTCTGCATAATTTCTAACTTAGATCACAAGATGTAACAGCAGAAGTAGGCCAGCCTGATTTGACTGAGACATTTAATGTGATTATGCTTGATCTAAAATCCTCAACCCTACTTTCCTGTCTTTTCCCCATAATCCTCAATTCCTTTACTGATTAAAAATCTCAGCCTTGAAAATTAACAATGCAGCCTCTATGGTCATCTGCAGTAAAGTATTCCAGAGATTCACTATCCTCCTCATCTCCATCTTAAATGGACGACTCTTACTCAGACTATGCCTTCTGGTCCTAGATACAATCTCATGGAGACACATTCACCTTGTCAAGCCCACTGATGTAATGTACCCTGAAGAATCCTGTAGGTTTCAAGAAGGTTGCCTTTCACCCTTCTAAACTCCCATGACTGCAGGCCCAATCTCCGCAACTTCTCTTTACAAGGCATCCCTCCATACCAGGGATCAAGCTAGTGAACCTGCACTACCTCCCACGCCAATATAGCTTTCCTTAGGTAATGTGACAAAACTGTTCAGAGTTTTGTGAATATGTTGTGATTTATCATTATAATTTCTTTTTAAAAAGTCTTTTTAACTGGAGTGATATTCAAAAAGCAATACAGAAGGTGCAAAAAAAAAATTCCAGTGTGACAAAGACAAAGCAACTCAGTGATGGTCAAAACACTGGATCCAACTAGTTGCTACATACAGTTTATTTGTTACCATCATACTGCATTGTCAACTCTACTGCAGCTTGAGATACTTTCATGAAATAACACCTACCTTGTTATTTCGCATGTCTGGATGTGGAGGAGAATCAAATTCTACAATAGTATGCACAATGTCCTGGGTAAGGTTGCTCAGATGGAGTCTAGGGTTAGCCACCACAGTTTTGGCACTTGCGGTGCAGGCAAACAGGAGGGGTACTGATGCAAGTTGCATGAAAGGACTTGTGACCTGTTTCACCAAATGCTCCTAAATACAAAAAGTTGATATAGCTTGAAATTCTGCATAGTTTAAAATTTATTTTCACTATTGTAATGTCAACATATATAGATCATTAAATGGTAGAGGCCAGAAAGAAAGATGGTTGAATCACGAGAAAAAAGATAATTTAAGATTGGCCAGAGGCCTAAAAATCCTTATTTATTTTGTGAAAATACAGACTTGGAGATATATGCAGAGCACATCTGTGCCTACTAATACCAGTTGCACTAGCCCATCAATATAATGCACATGCATCTCTGGACTTAACTTTCAGCAAATAAAAATTTTTGATTTGAGACCTTAGATCATCCATGGGCATACCAAATGGCTGAGCAGATTCAAAAGGCTGAAATAGCTTACTTGTGATGTTAAAGATTTCTAGCTACAATTAAGATAAAATATGTTTTTACAGTGAAACATCAATTCTGCAGAGCTAGTTTTAAATGGAGCAATTATAGCAAAGCACTGAAAATGACCACATCAATAATCCATTTGAGATTGAGCTCATCATAAGCTGGTTTAGGGCACATTGGGCTCCATCTTCCAAGGAGTTGCAATCAGATTGCAAATCTGTTCTTTTATACTTGCCTAACCCAAAATTCAGTGCTTTTGGTCCAAACTTTTCAGTTAGGTCTCTCGAAAAGCACACTATCAGCAAATCTTCCAGGCCTGGGGAGTCGGGGGTGGGGTGGTGGTGTTGGTGAATGAAGATTAGAGCACAGGGTGGTGGATGAGACAGAGTTAAGTATCAGGTGTTGTAGGGTAGAATGCTTGAGTTGGGAAGTTAGGAGGATTTAGAAAGAGCAGCTAGGAATGGGTGGTCTGTTTCATAGTTGGTCAAGACTTAGAGCACATTTCAATCTCTAACCTTTCCTAGCTGACTATTAAAGTACTTCTGCATATTAAAGTATTTGGGCAGCACAGTGGCTCAGTAGTTAGCACTACTGCCTCATAGCACTAGGTACCCGGGTTCGATTCCAGCCTCGGGCAACTGTCAGCGTGGAGTTTGCACATTCTCCTGTGGGGTTTCCACCAGGTGCTCCAGTTTCCTCCCGAGTCCAAAGATGTGCAAGTTAGGTGGATTGGCCGTGTTAAATTGCCCATCGGGTCCCAGGATGTGCAGGCTAGGTTAGCCACGGGAAGTGCAGGGTTATAGGGATAGATCTGGGTGGGATGCTCTTTAGAGAGTCAGTGCGACTCAATGGACTGAATGACCTGCTTCCACATTGTAGGGATTCTGTGATTCAGATACTAGGTAACTACCCATCAGAATTTTAAAATGTTCCACAATTACTGTGTGGTCAGTGCACAAAGACCTCCAAGTAGTTTCCACATTATATATTTATCTTTGTCTATCTGGAGGCCAGAAGATCTGAGCTTATACTTACTGAAAGAAATTTCGTAGCTTATTTTCCATGCATAATCTACAATAAAGTTTATTATACCACTGTCGCATTGACAGTCAAACAGCTGGCACCACAACGAGAACCGTTTGTTAAACAACATAGGGTCATTATGCTCAACTGCAGCATAATACTAAACTGATTTGTTTCCTTGAATTGAGGCTTGTTAAATAATTTTTTAAACCATATTAAATTCCCAGTTCTTTCTACTGCATGTGCCCATCCCATGGTCATCTCCTTTTAACGCTAAAAATAAACTGAAAAACATAGGTTTTACATTTCTCAATTAAAATGAATTTTAGTTAATACTTATTAAACTCTGACATTTCTATGGGAAAATATCGTTTTTGTAAACCACATTCAAACTAGACATATCAAGTTAAAATGCCCCCAAACTGCAAACAAATGCAAGGCTTTAGAATTTTAAGATTTTTACAAAATCGCAATAATGCTTGTTGGTGTTGACACTGTCCAAATAAGAACACAGGAAAAAAAAACCCAAAACTGAATAACACCTTACTAAATTGACTATCAGGAAACTGCACTTGTGAACTGCCTGGTAGATATTTCTGATCAACTTGTTCTAGAGCAGATAAGACTTGAATCTGGGCCTCAGACGTAGGGAATCTACCATGGTATCAAAACAGCCCTCCTTCAATTCAAAAACCATTTGGAAGAAATACATTACCAAGATCTGGAATCATGATCTCCAGTTTTTCAGACAGGCAGGCTAATCTGCTAAGTCACAGTGCCATCCAGGGGTGAACTGGATGACTTCAATTTTAAATCATGCTTGTTTGACATTATTTCAAATGCTCTTCAAATTTGGATACTGAACTATTGCAATGACAATGGCTGAATATGTGGCAAAGTCCAATTACAATGAAAATAGTAACGAACTTTGAGGATTTACAGCACCACTTAGAAATCAAATAAACAGATGCTCCCTACATGGAGGTGGAGAATATACCTATAATTCTGTACATTGCTGGTTTTGGTTTCATACAAAAAGTTCCAACTAGATTAAATGCTTCAGAGATATTTTCACTAACTGAACATTAGTCAAGACCCAGTTTCAGTACAAGGCACTGTCCTGAAGTATAAAAACCTTACTTTACAGCAACAATTACCTGCTGCGATTCCTGTAAAAGAAGAATCAACTCCATCCTGACTGACGCCAGGCCTCCACCATGAGACCCATGGAGACTACAGTAACTAAGAAACATCCTTAGGAGTGGTTGATTTTGCAGAAGCCACAGTCTCCTACGCTGCAAATACTCTTGCTGATGTAATGACTTTTCTTGGTCAACTATGCCATTTTCTGCCTGTTCACTGTCAGCAACTTCAAAACCATCTTTGATAGCTTCAAGATCAACATTGTAATTACATGTTTTCTGTAGGGCTGTAATTTCTCTCTCAAGCCATTTGTACAGTTGGAAGCGGAGTTTTCCACCATCAACCTCATATCCAGTAGACAATGTACGCAGCTCTGTAGTAAGTATCTTCAAACAAGCTCCAAATTTTAACTGCGCTGCAATGACATCTTCCGATGGACTTAAAAAATCATCAGCTGAACTCGAGAAATTACAGTAACTTTCTCCTTCAATCTTTGCAGCAGTGGAGCACGGTGGATTTATTTCCTTCATTGACAGGCCAATCTCCTCCTCTTCATCTTCCTTATCACTATCCCATTTTAATTCCAATGGCTGGTCCTCAAAAGTTAGAGATGACTGACTCCAATCAAAACTAAGAGATGAAGTGGATTGTCCGTTTGACAGCCAATCGGATGGAACTTTTGATCCCAAACCGTTGACTATTGATGACGAGCAATCACAATGCAAAACTCTATGTTCAGATTCTTCAGACGAAAAATTAACTGTCAAATAAGAGCTTGCTTCATTCTGTAAATTCTTTGGTTTCACTGTGACTGCTGGCATCTTAGACAAAACTTCAAGAGCTAACATTGGGCAACCGGCTTTGAAGTGTGCATTTGCAGTTGAAAAGAACAACCTTCTTTCAGCTAAGCTGATCTTATCTGCCAGACCACTTTCCACTGTTAAACCCATCTGTGACATTGTCTTCTCTGAAGAAGCAAAGTGTCGTCGCAACAAAAGTGGATGGGTTCGCAAATAGTTGTAGAAATTAAATACCCCAGGGTTGCATGACGTAGACTTGCTGTGTTCTGAAGATAAATAAGTAAAAGTTAAGACATTGTTAGACATTAAAATATTTCATTATGATTGCCTACACCATAACAACGCCTACATCTCAGAAGTGAAATGATCAAAGACACATGTTAACACGATACACAACCGTATACCTTCTTAACCAGACTAATCATGGACAGCAGAGGTTGAGCTCGGTGGTGTAAGTTTGAATGGTGAGTTCAAAGTCGAATGAGTTGCAGAAATTAAAAAGAAAGAGAGAGTGTGGTTAAAGAAATGGGATAGAGATAGAAGGTAGCAACATAAAAGGAATACTTTATGAAATTCTCCAACATTCAGAGGAATTTGAAGAATGAGAATCCACATTTGTTAGAATTTACTTTTCAGTACTAGAGAGGTTATTTGGCCATCATATGACAAAGAACATTACCAAGAAGGCACTACAGAGGAATGACTTGAGTAATGTTATCTAGGTTTTCAGTACAGAAACATCAAGCCATTTGATACATTTGAATGACAACTGAATTGGAATATGCAGACAGCACCTTGACTGACAACTTTTGGATTTATACCTTTGATTGAGCATGTATTTTTGCAGGAGGGTGCTAGCATATAGATATCAATTAGCCCTTATGGTTATTTTCCTGATTGGCAATATTAGGCAATATCCTTTTCCTCACCCCGGCAGCACAAGAACCACTTTAATTCAGAGCATCTTTATATAGAAAAGTCCGTCAATGCAAAGCAGCATTAAATTTGCAGTATCAGCAGTCCTTAACTAACAGTTGCAGTGCAAGTGCACCAGTAGCCTACTATAATCTCAACTGTCTCCAATCCTGTTCCCAGGCAACTGATAACATGCCTTTAGGGAAGTTAGCTGACATACGAAATGCTTTGTTGGTCTTCACACTTCCTTTCAAGTAGTACAAAAATAATAAATAAATGTCACAATACAAAATTAAACGTTTTCATAAATTTCATTCATCAAAAAGCATTACCTGTCACACTGGAATTATCATTTTCTTTCATCCCCTGTTCCAACAGAGTGTTCAGAGAGTTGGTGTAATCTTCTAATATCCAATATGCCATACTCCGCAATACAGGATCAGAATTTCTTAGAGAAAGGTTAAAGTCTTTGCTCTTTGTATCATATCCCAGGATTCTTCTGACAAGTATAGACTTGTAAGTGGATGACACTTCAAATTCTGATTCATACAAGCGTGCTATTACAAGAGCTAACTGAACATCATGAAGTCTTTCGAGACAAACCTATATAAATAAAGAGGGTACATTATCGAGTTGTAAGCATTTACTTTTGTCAAATCCAAATCAGATGTCGTTTGTATAACTTAATGGTTCATATTGAAGAGTGCATTAGGGTCCATCCAATCTGATGTCATAATGGTTTGGATGGATAAAAAGGCAGAACATCTTGGGATCTAAGTGCAGTCTTACATCCACTGCTCTCCTTAATATCTGAGTAATAAAGTCTTACAAAATAATGTAACTTGCACACAATTGGGACTGTGAAATAAATTACATTACATTAAAAAAAGAGCATCTTCACATTAAGATTCACTTGTGGTTGTTCCTCTATCACTTTAATCCAAATAGGCCCTTAGACTCAGCCAATGAAGAATAGTAGTGGGCAATATTCTTCTACCCACAAATACCACATTGCCTTTTCTTTTAAAAGCAGTATACAATATGGAAGCTAGATCCTACAACAAGGTTTGACTTTGCACAGATTATTTGCCGTGCAATACAGTGTGTACTCACTTGAAAACTTCTAATTAGTGTTTGAGCGGAAAATATTGTTTCTGTAATGGATACTGTAGAAATAATATTGTGTAAAATTTTCAAATTACACTGACATGGTAACAGAATGAGAGCTTAAATAATCTGCATAATAAGGATAGTTTTCAATATCATCAAGATGTTTAACAAGCACACATTCAGTACCTTATAAATGGGGTATGAATCTTTAAATTGGGTTATATACATGGACCTAAATAGAATTATAATCAATAATTTTCTAAGAACTGTGCATTTCCAACCCAGAAATGTGGTATGGAAAACGTTCAAGATTTGAGACAGAAACCGGAAGGTGAATTTCATTTATACGAACCAAGAAGAAAAGCAGCGATTTACTCGTTCGCAGATGTTTGTGCACCAGACTGTCAAAACGTATGACTAAAACAACTGAATTAATCTGTAGAGATAGTAAGAACTGCCGATGCTGGAGTCTGAGATAACACAGTGTGGAGCTGGAAGAACACAGCAGGCCTGGCAGCCAGAGAGGAGCAGGAAAGCTGACGTTTCGGGTCGGGACCCTTTCTCAGAAACGTCAGCTTTCCTGCTCCTCTGATGCTGCCTGGCCTGCTGTGTTTCTCCGGCTTCACACTGTGTTATCTCGGAATTAATCTGGAGGCAAGTTACATCAAATAAAAGGAGTTTGAAATATCAATATAATGGAATTAGACTAAAGTACCCTTATATGGGGAACGACAATTCTCCATACTTTGAAGTAAAGAACCTAAAATTTTGAAAAGTAGGCCTGGTTATACATTTCGTGCATGCAGAATTTTGCTGTTCAAATTGGCTTCCATAAGGGATTATGATGTGGCAACTAAAATTGAAGAAATCCATTCGGTGTTTGGTCCTTTAGAATTTCTGAAAAGTTTTTGACAGTGCTTTCTAAGTTCTCAAGATGATTTGCATTTTTCTAACTATCAATGTCTACTACAACAGGATCAAGTTCTACATACGCTGTTTACCAGTTGAAAGCATAAAAGTCAGCCATCATCCAAGCTTTTTACTTTGATGATATCATGAATAATTAGAACTGGTTCAGGCTTGAATAAAATGTTCTTTTTGGTTGAATTAGCAAAGCTGTCACTTTACAAGCTACCAGCAACCAAGTACCTCAACAGGTTATCAGCTGAAGTACAAGGGAACAAATTGAAGTGAGGAAAGAACATTTTGCAGCTGCGGCTCGAGTGGTATTCTACATTATAAGCATGCTGTTGGCAAGCCAAATAGATATTATTCCCAATTCACAGGGAAGTAATGGTGCATGAGTGTGTGTCAATGTGATGCTTGTCATGCAGGTAACCTGTCCCACTAAGTAACGAATCAAATCAAGCAGTCCTTCTCTTCAGCAGTTTGTGATCATTAAAGCACTGACTTATCTGACTAAACATTCGTACAAAACTCAGAACATAATATCTAATGTGAGATGAGATCTTACAACTCAAAAACAAGATTGTTTAACAACTGATGTTAAGAATAACTAATTTATACCTAATCAGTTGGAGCGCACAGTATGGCTCTCTTAGAGAAGAAACAAGTTACACATTCACACACAGGAAACTGCCCTTTGCAAATGGAAAGAATGTGTCCAATTATTGCACGTATTTCAAAGCTAGATGGATGCCATGCCTCATGGTAAGGTCTTGACCAGAGTAGACTCGCCTCGCTTGAAGTTAAATAAAAACCTGTTCACTAATGCATTCTCTATAGTAATGTCTCAGAGTTGCATATACTTCTCATGCAGCATAAATTCTTGATGTTCCCTTTGAGATTTGGTTTTCTTGGAATTCTGCCCCAGTGAGGACAACACAAAAACCTTTGTTTGCATATCTCCTACTTTAGCAACACAAGTGAACAATTTCTGAACCTCTAATTATTTGAGAACGTAAGCATGCGAATTTGTTCAGTGAGCAATTATATATAAGTTTACTTTACCTCAACAGCATCCTTAAGGGAACCACCCAAAAGGAAGAAAGCTGCTGACTGCTCAAATCGTTGTTTACCTAACAATGCGAAGGCATTCTTCAACGCAGCCTTCCTCCACCTATCATCACTGAAATTTTTTCCAAAAAACTCCATCATTTTTTTATCCTGGAGAGATCTGCACATCAAAAACAAAGTTAATTTAAATTTTGTTCTTGCTCCTTATTCATTGTGCATTCAAAACACAAACACAATATAGATCAAAGTATGTTAAGAAAAGTAGATTATATTCATAAGCCAGCATATTCATTAAGTATGATCTTGGATATTTCATTTTGTCAGGAAAAATAATGATTCAAGAGAATTGGCAAAGTAACATTTTGATGGTTTAATGAATGACTAAGATATTTTAATGCCTTTTTTAAAAATCGTTTCCCCAATCTCATTTCATCTGCTTGTAACAGCCTCCAATCATACCACTTTAAATAAGGTTCAGGAAGTTTGCAAAAGCAAATATGGTTCATTTATTACATTCTTCTTATAGCTAAAGATAATGTTCCAACTTGAATAATGCTTCAATGCTTTCTTCCCTCTTGCCAATGATTATTATGGCAAAGCAAACAGTATTCCTAAATATTAGTGGTTATGGGATGATTCACCAATCTTTTCGATCTACAGTTAAATGATAAGCCTGTGTTTTTGAGCAAGAAAATCGGATTTTCTCAATATGTAACTCAGTACAACTCTTACATTCTTCTGCTACAAAACGATCTGAAAAGGAAAACAAACAAAATCACATGCATTTTCATCCAAGAAAAGCATTATTGCATTCTTGTGGAAACCTGCAAGCATAATCACAAAGACAAAATTTATGGCTTGTGCGATCAGTGGGGAAAATGCACAGAATGCCATAAACAAAACATTGGAATGTCTTACCTGAACAGGCCCCATAATACAGCCTTTTTCTTCATCGCGAGATAAAATATAGCTGCTTCTAAAGGATCATTATTTCTCTGGAATGCAGCTTTAGCAACCTGTGTTTTAGGCAAAAAAGTTTTTACTTGCAATACATTTCTAAGTTTACATATAAACATAGAAATGAAACAACTAATTCTTTTATTATAAGCCACAGAAGTCAGCACTTGTGAATCCTTACAATTGACTTTTTGATCAAAATTTTTAAACTGTTGTTCCTTTTTGCTTGGAATTTACTATCCAATCTTGCACAAGTCGAAAATGCTCAACAAGGTCAGTTTGGATTTTTCCACAAAAATCTTCATACAAAGTCTCGTTTATCATTGGCTATTTCATCAGTCAAAAATGTCTTACAGCAGGATGAATAATCACAATTTGAACGCCTGGATAACACAAATAAATGTCTGGCATTCTCAATGTTTTCCTTGCTTGTACTTCAGGACACTGACAGTTTAGGGAAAGCAACTTGCCATCTGAACCCAGCTTTTCAATAGAATTCAGCCAGGTAACCATTTAGTCAATTAAATACATTTTCTTAATAGGATCACTTTTAATTCGGCATAGAACATAAAAAGATACACCCTATGTATGTCTAAATTACTAATGATGAAAAATAATTTGCATTTCTTGTCATTTTCAACTAAAGGGTGACTTAGCCCTCTTTCAAGAAAAAAAAACAGAGGTACTGAGAGAGAGCATCCTTGCTTCATAATTGAAAGATGAAAAAGATTAACATTTCACAACCACCAGACATCCTAAAATGCTTCATAGTCAATGAAGTACTTTTTTCAAATCTACTCTCAGCTATAATGTAGGAAACATGGCAGCCAAATGGTGCTTTTACCCACAAACAGCAACGTGATAGTAACCAGATAACTAGTTTGTCCTGCTGACCTAGAATTCTTGGCCAGGATGACTCCGTAGCTCTTGTATGAAGATTTCTCCCCGAGAGGACAGCTTGGGCCTTGGTGTAATACCACAGTCAAAAGACAGCAACTCTATCAGTACAGCACTACTTCATGATTCATGATCATAGGAACATGAACCTTAACTTTTGTACTCAAGTCTAGGAATGGGCTTGAACCCAAAAACCACAGAATCATACAGCACAGAAAAGGCCGTGTGACCCATCAAGAATGTACCACCAAAATAATTCACTATTACTTACACTTAGAGTCGTAGTCATATATATAACATGGAAACAGAACCTTCCGTCCAACTCTTCCATGCCGAACAGGTTTCCAAAACTAAACTAGCCTCATTCACCCGCGCTTGGCCCATATCCCTCTAAATCTTTCCTTTTCATGTATTTGTCCAAATATCTTTCAAATGTTGCAACTAAATCTTATTTACAGATTAAGAGGCCAGCTGTTGTTAAAACAAAAACATAGGAACTCCTGTGGAAAAGGACAATGGCTCATCTAGTTCACTGTCTGCCATCCTGGTGCTCTTATGATCCAACAATAATGTATATATTACATAATCATGACAACAGCTTACACGGAGAGTGTAAAACACCAACGGTAAAGAGTTTTGGCTATGTCTCAAGCACAGAGTACGTGTAAAAAGATAAAGGGAAGGATCCTTTTCTCTTCCCCACACATCCCGTGAAGAAAAGAACAAAGTACAGGGCACATGAACAAACTTGCACTAACTTGGCGATATAACTTGGAACTTGCATGCAACGGTATAAATGGATAGTGCTAATCTTGGCTCATTGGTATTAGAAGAGGTATATAAAAGGAAACAGCCTTTTTAGTTTGTTAGATAATTTAAAATTTTCCCAGTTACACCAGCAATCTCTCAAATCACATTTGTCAAAGTAGCTGTCTTTACTTAACAGCTTACAATACATAAATTTATAACAGTACAGAACACACAAGTTAAGGCAAGCATCATTCACAGCCCACCTAAACAGGTTAATCTGTCCATTAACAATTGCAGAAGCTACTTATTCCACTTTGCCCCACTGCCTTGAATATTATAGCACTCCAAGTGCTTATCCAAGCTCTTCGAAGGAGTCAAGGTTACCCACTTCAACTATTCTCTCAAGTTATGCATTCTAGACCCCTATCAACCTCTGAAAAACAAGGTCCTCAAATCCCCTGTAAACCTCCTACCTTTCACCCTAAAGTTATAGAACAACATAGAACAAAGAACAGTACAGCACAGTACAGGCCCTTCGGCCTATGATGCTGTGCCGATCTATTATCCTACTCTAAGATCAAACTACCCTGCATACCCTACATTTTACTATCATTCATGTGCCTATCCAAGAGTCACTTAAATGGCTCTAACGTATCTGACTCCACTACTACCGCTGGCAGCGCATTCTACACATCCGTCACTCTCTGTGCAAAGAATCTACCTCTGACATCTCCCCTATTCTTTCCTCCAATCACCTTAACATTATGCCACCTAGTAATAGTCATTTCTGCCCTGGGAAAAACTCTCTGGCTATCCACTTTATCTATGCCTCTTATCATCTTCTACACCTCTATCAAGTCACTTCTCATCCTTCTTCGCTCTAGTGAAAAAGGCCCTCGCTCCCTCAACCTTTCCTCGTAAGACCTGCCCTCCAGTTCAGACAGCATCCTGGTAAATCTCCTCTGCACCCTCTCTAAAGCTTCCACATCCTTCCGATATTGAGGCGACCAGAACTGAACACAATATTCCAAGTGTGGTCTAACCAGGGTTTTATAGAGCTGCAGCATAACCTCAAGGCTCTTAAATTCAATTCCCCTGCCAATGAAAGCCAATGCACCATATGCCTTCTTAACAACCCTAACTTGGGTAGCAACTTTGAGGGACCTATGGATGTGGGCCCCAAGATCACTCTGTTCCTCCACACTGCCAAGAATCCTGCCATTAACCCTGTATTCTGCACTCAAATTTGGCCTTCCATAATGAATCACTTCATACTTAAGTCCCCTTTTTCTTGACCCCTCAACAAAAGTGAACAACTGCTCTCTATCCACCCTGTCTATATACCTCAATCAGGTTCCCCTTCAACATTCTCTGCTTTAAAGAAAACAATCTGAGCTTATTCAGTCTCTCCCCCATAGCTGAAACGCTCCATTCCAGGCAACCGCATGGTGAATCTCCTCACCACACCCTCTAGTGCAATCCCATTCTTCCTATAGCGTGGGGACCAGAACTACACATGGTATTCCAGCTATGGCCTAGCCAAAGTTCTGTACAGCTCCAACATACCCTCCCTGCTCCTATGCCATGACTGATAAAGGCACATATCTCGTATGCCTTAACTACATTAACCTGTCCAGCCACCTTCAGAGATCTGTGGGCAAGCACCCTAAAATCCCTCTGTTCCTCCAAACTTCCTTGTGTCCTGTCATTCATTGAGTATTACCTTGTAAGCTTGGAAGAAGTAACATTTATCAGGGTTCGATTCCAGCTGCCACTGATCTACCCATCTGACCAATTCGTTTGTATCCTCCTGGAATCTAACACCTTCAGCCTCACAATCAAGCACCCAGCCAATTGGTGTTATCTGCAAACCTACTTATCATCTGCTTCAGATTCTCATCATTTATGAATATGACAAACAATAGCGACCTACCACTGATACCTGTAGGACACCACTGGACTCCAGCCTCCAGTCACACAAACAGTATTCTACCACCTCTCTGCTTCCTGACACTAATCCAAGCCAAATTGGGGTCCAATCTTTGCAGCTCAAGAGCTGAAATTGGTACCTACTGAGCCATAGCTGGCATCTCCAAAGTGTATTTGGTGCTAAGAAGTGGAAAGAAAAATGGGTACAAATCTCTGCGATAGGAGGAAAGCTCCAAAACTTAATCATGAAGAAAATGGTGTAACAAGTTAGGTTAAGTTAGCCAGTTGATAACCGCAATGTGATTGAGAAATATGGATGCTTCTAGTAATAGAAGCTGTTAACAGCAACTTATACTTCCATGTTGAAATTTGTTCAGCATCCATGTCCTAATATTAGATGTCCAGACACAAGCATAAGTAAAACAGCAGAGAGCTGAACCGGCATAAGATACTGCAAAAGTAACAACGCTTTCTTCTATTTTTAATAAAAATATTCAGAAAATAATTCACAATACCTTTTCTATACACCTGCGTAGAATGTTTGTGCTGCGCACCCACCAGCCTACCCCCATAGCTCTAAGTTCTGACCAGTGAGGATCTCCTCTTTGTATTGCAGGGATCATGTTTAGCAGCTCTTCCTCTGCCTCTGAATGAAAGGCCCAGGCAAAATGACAAGTAGATAAACCTGTAATAAACAAACATATTTCTGCAAATCAGGTTCTGCATCTTAATGGATATTGCAGCGATTATGCTCCCAAGATAGTCACCCTTAGTCTTGAATATATAGTGCAGTGCAGAGACTTGAAACCTCACCAGGGCTGTTTATGAATTTGAATATGTTTATAAACAGTAAAAAAGCAACATGCACAAAAGACTAACATCAGTAATTGTCAAAAAGATCAACTAATTAGCTCATTCTGTCTTTCTGATCTCATGAGGCTACCATGTGACTTCATACAACATGGTTGATTCTTTTTTCTGAAATGACCTTGCAAACCACTCAGTTACATCAACATGTTCAAAGTAGTACACTAACAGTCAAACAAGGCAGAGCACTTGACTTTGACTTGCATTGTGGATTCAGATGTTATAAATGCATGCTCAAACTTATCAAATTCGCAAGTCCTCCTCAATAATATCTGGCAACTAATGACAAAGTTGAAGTCATTGTTACATTGACTAGTCAAGCAAGTTGTGATAGAGTTGTACTTAGAATAAGCCACCGTTTTAAACTCACCGTCTTTAAATATCTCTAACTCCACAAAGTACAGTAAGTGGCAAGAAGTGGCCTAACAATAGTTTACAATCTGGAGGGCTTGACTCCAGGAATCCTAAACACCAATGCCAGATGCCATGAGATCTGATGGTTTAAGGTGAAACTGAGAATGATAACCTACCAAATGTTCTCTTACACCTGATCATTACATCACAATGTTGAAGAATACTTGAAAGTAGTCCTGAAGGCATGATGGGGGAATTCAATCCCATTACCCAACAGTACCTTGGTAATACCACCAACAGATGAAGATTGGTTGCCAGACTGGGCAAGTGGCAACAGAATAAGCAGACAGGACTAACAGTTTTTGGATTTTCCCAAACTACCAATACAAATGCATTCGTCATTACATTCTTGGCCCTTTATTGCTCTGGCAGAAGAAAAGTCACCTTTTCGTAAAGAACACTCACTGAAAGTGTTGGGTGACAGCACCATCATACAAAATAGGATAAAGATCAGCTGCAACAGCTCTAAACTAAACTTCCAAGAGGCACTGTGGCCAGCAGTTGAACAGCATCACACCACAATATATAACCTGGTACATTCTTGTCTCTATCATCATCACCAAGCCAACTAGCCAACTCTGGTAAAATGAGGAGGGTAGGAGAGCAAGCCAGGAGAACCATCGTGAAGTGCCAAATAGATGAAACTACAATAGAGATACATATAGAAGCAGGTGCTATGGATAGAGTCGAATAATCCAACTAAACAGATCAACATTTTTCAGCCCTGTCACATTCAGATGTGAAGAAGAAAGACAATATGATAATTACAATGAGTAACCTTAATCTTCATATTGATTAAATCAAGTTGGAAAGATTAACTATGATAAAAAATTTGCCAAGTGTATTAGGGATCATTTCCTGGGGCAACATTTCATGGAGCCAACCAGGGTACAGGCTTTCCTTGATCTGGTCAGACTGGTTTAATAAATGACGTCAGAGTAAAAGATTCCCCCAAAAGTAGCGATCATAACATGGTAGCATTGAATATTCAGTTGTGAGAGAGAAACTTGGGTCAGAAACAAACATGTTTAACTTAAATAAAGAAAATGATGATGAAATTATGGTAGAGTTTACCGAATTGGACTGGGCAGATAGATTAGTAAGAAAGACAAATGTCAACAATCGTTTGACTATTAAGTAATTCATGACTCTCAGCAAAGTTATATCCCAGTAAGGAGGAAAGATTCGAATAGGGGGATAAACCAACCACAACTAACGAAGTTAAGGAGAGTATAAAGTTGAAAGAAAAAGCATACGAAGAGGGAGAAGTTGATGACAGTGCTGAAGATTGGGATAAATTCAGAACCTGAAAGGTGGACTTAAAAGATAGAGATAGTTAAGTCCTTTGTTTATTTTCTATCAAGAAATATATCAACTTGACAATAAGCGCTTCTTTTTAAAATGCAGGCCCCTTAGAAAACAAAGCTGGGTGATAGTTATGGGGAACAAGGACGTGGCAGAGAAGTTAAACAGACACTTTGCATCAGTCTTTAGGGTGGAAGATATTTCAAACACCCTGTTAACACAAAAGAATATGGGAAGGAATTAAGTACCATCGCCATCATTAAAAAGTACTTATTAAGCAAACTAACTGGGCTCAAGGCAGGTTGGTCCCCTGGCCTGATGTTTTGCAGCCTGGCATCCTAAAGGCAGCAGCTACAGAGATAGCAGATAGTGGTTGTAACTTTCCAAAAATCCTTGTATTCTAGAGAAGTACCAGAGGATTGAAAGACGCCTGTATTCAAAAAAAGGGAGGGAGGCAAAAGCAGGTAACTGTAGGCCAATGAGCCTCACATCTATTGCAGGTAAACTATTGGAACACATTAGTAACGAAGTAACAGCACATTCAGAAACCCATAATGAAATCAAGCAGAGTCAACATGACTTCAAGAAAAGGAAATTGTATCTGACTAATACAATAGAATTTTAAAAGGAAGCCTCAACCAGAGTGGACACAGGGGAACTCGTAGATATACTGTACCTGAACTTCCACAAGGCACTTAACAAGGTACCTCACGGAAGGTTAAATCAAAAGGCATTATCTCATGATGCTGGAGGCAATATACTGGTGTGGATGGAGAATTTGCTGATGGACAAAAAGTAGGAAGTGGGGATAACCTGTTTTTTTCAGGTTGGCAACTTGTAACCACTGATTCCAGACTTGCAACTATTTACAATATGTATTCATAACTTAGAGGGAGGAAGTGAACATACTATTGCTAAATTTGAAGAGGTTAAAACAGGTAAAAATGCAGGTTGAGAGAGGAATGCAAACAGTTTATTGAAATATTGATAGGGTATCTAAGTGGGCAAAAAGTTGGCATATGGAGTATAATGTGGAAAATGAGAAGTTGCTCATAAAGGAAGACAAAAAGAAGATTATTTAAAAGGAGAAACATTACAGAAAGCTGCAATAAAAGGCATTGGGGGTACTTGTGCAACAAAACTTAATCACAGGTACAGCAGGCACTCAGGAGCATTAATGGAATTTTGGCCCTTATTTCAATGGGGTTGGAGTTTGAGAATAGGAAAGTCTTACTGCAACTGCAGGAAATATTTGTAAGACCACATCAGGAGTATTGAGAGCACTTTGGTCTCCTTAAGGAAAGATACTGCTTAATTGGAGGTAATTCAGAGAAGGTTCACCAGGATTATCCCTATTATGAAGAGATTATCTTATGAGCAAAGGCTAAACAGGTTTTGGACTCTACTCACTGCAGTTTAGAAAAATAAGTGATCTCACTGAAAGATACATAGGAGTCTGAAGGGGCTTGACAGTGTACATGTTGAAAAGATGTTTTTCTCATGGGAGACTAAGAGCAGAAGTCAGAATAAGGTCACAACTGAAGACTGAGATGAGGAGGAATTTCTTCTCTCAGAGGCTGAAGGAGCTCCTTGCCGCAGAGAGCTGTGGGGACAGAGTCCTGTGTATACCCAAGGTTGAAATAGATAGATTCTTGACTAACTGGGGAATATCGCAGGAAACTGTATGCGAGGAACATCAGATCAGCAATGTTCCTACCGAATGGTAAAGCAGGCTGAACCAAAACTGCCTACACCTGTTCCAATGGTCTTATTATGATTGAAATTAAACAACCATCACAAATATCCCCAGTCTCAGTGGTGGCAGAGCCTAGCATGAGAACACAAGAGGCAAGGCTGAAATATGTCTTCTAGCATTTGCAGCCAGAAATTCCTATCATATGGCCTTACCCATCATGCCTTTCTCCAGGAATCTCCAGCATCACAGGTTTTCAGCCAATTTTATTCATTGATGTGATCGCACGAAATGGCTAAAGCAATTAGTTACGGCAACAGTTACAGGACCTGAAGTGATACTGGCTACAGTGCTGAAGATCTGTACTTTGGCACCAATACCCCTCCAACCAAGTTGCTGCAGTACAGCTAGAACAATGGCTCCTCCCAACAATATGGGAAATAGCCTGTTCTGTTCACAGAAGCAGAACAAGTCTCTCCAGGTATCACCTTAATATGGTCCTGTCAGGTCATCAGAAAAGGAATGGAAGGTGTCATTTACAGTGCTACTAACTAGGTGTTCTGGATGCATGATTCACATATTGGGTCCCCAAAGCCTGCCTGCCAACTTCAAGACATAATTCAAGTTCATAGTTTAATGGAAACACTCCACTTATTTGGATAACTAGCACTCCAGTAACATTCAAGAAGCTTGACACCATCCAGGACAATGCAATTTAAGTCACTGATAACTCATTCACCACCTTAAAATTCACTCCCTCACCACTGGACTATTGAGATAGCTGGTGGTGCACATTGTATGAATTGTATTTTGCAACCATTTGTGAAGATGTATTTTGGTAGTACTTTATCATTCCTGTGATCTACACCATCTAAAACATATGTGCAGACAGGCACATTTGAACAACCTCCAAGCTTCTTTCCAAGTCATGAGCACATATAATTTCTTTCACTGATGTTGGGTCAAAGTTCTAGAACTCTATTTGACAGCACGCTGGTGCATTGTTACGACACTGATTGAAACAAGTCAAGGCAATGATCATCACCTTCTGAAATGCAACTAAGAACGAGCATTAGATGCTGAATTTGCAAGCTGTGTTCATGTTCTGTAAATAAATTGGTCAAAAAGGAACTTTAGAAATATCAAAAAGTATATTTAGCCATACTGAAATAAAGATATGCGTTTCAGAAAAGCTTCTACATTACGAACGAATAGGGTTGTCAAATGCAGAACGAACAAAACGTACCAGATTGGAGGTTAAAAGCAATAAATACATAGCATATTTTAACACTTGCCTTACGTACTGTATAAAGTAATGATAGCTTTTGAGGCTACAGTTCTATTTTGTTTACAGGAATTTTTTCATATTTTCACAGATTTACCTTGACGAAGAAGTTGTGCTCGATAGACTGGAGGTAATGATGTCAACAGGAATGTATGGAGCCGCATGGCTAAAAGAAATCTCAATCCACATTCATCAAGGGTCTCTCCACCTGGTAAAAGGAAACATCGGACTTAATTTGTACATTTCAATTTCCAGAATACATGGGCTATTAAGAATTGGATTGCGAATGGAACTAATGTGTGGGTAATCACAGACATTGCAATCTAAACCTGCTGCTCCACTCTCCCGCTAAACTTTGCATCTTCCTATGCCCGAAATGTTTACCAGATGTTCCTTTAAAAATCCTTTTAAATCATGCATGAATCACTCCATGAAGTAAAAGCATCCCATGTTCTAACGTTCAATTATTGTTCTGAATATAGTAGCACAAACTGACTAACAGGAGCTTAGCACTTCTGAATTCATCATTCACTTCACGTTGGAGCAAATTTCATGGTTTGGCACAGAGCATAGGATAAAAATACACATTTGGAATTTGCATACTAAGAGTCAGCACAACATTCATGGTAATCAACAAACAGATTTTAGTTAGAAAATAATGTGGACTGTGCAAAGACTGCGTGTCCTCATAATTTTTTCTGCATTTTTAACATGGACTGAAATGAGAAGTTTTAAAACTGAAGATTGCTGAAGGATTATTGCACATTTTTTTTGAAAGCAAGTAACCTGAAGCTCACTAAGCACCGCTTACATGGCCATTGCTCAAAGCTGTAGTAGGAAAAGGCATATGGTGCTAAGGAGTATTTACAAATGGAGCTTTGACTAGCAACGAACTAATTGATAACTGCTCACTAGTTCACAGACCAATTACAATGTTCTTTTGTTGCCAGCAGTTGTGAAATTAGCTTTCAATTAACTTAAAGCTTGGGGCAGTGAACAGGATAGAGAAAGTGTATCAGATCTTCACCAACCCAGGAACTGTCTCTGCAGCAAAATGCATTTTAAGTCTAAAGAAAACCAGTTTATTTCTGCTTCAACTGTTGCTCCTGTCTGGGACTGACTTAGGCGAGTCGGGAACTTAATGTTGCTGTGAACCAGACACCCTGCACCTCCTGCAAACCAGTGAAAGCATCTGGAGAAGCAGCACATTGATCAGCAAAATAATCATCTCAACAAGCTTGTGAATAGAAACCCATGAATTGTCTTGATAATTAATAAAACTGAAAGAACTGCAGATGCTGTAAATCAGGAACAAAAACAGAAGTTGCTGGAAAAGCTCCGGTGTGGCAGCATTTGTGAAGAAAAAAATCAGAGTTAACGCTTCTGGTCCAGTGACCCTTCCTCAGAGCTCAGTCAGCCGACCCAAAACATCAACTGATTTTTTCCTTCACAGATGCTGCCAAACTTTTCCAGCAACTTCTATTTTTGTCCCTGAATTGTCTTCCTACTCTGCATTTCCACTCATAACACCAGTGTTCTTTTTTCCTGTCTCTGCACGGGTGCAAGAGGAAGCTTAAAAGGAGCTTTCGAATTTCAATAAGCAGAGTCACAGGCCAATGGTGCATACTAGCTTACTTGTAGATTAAGTCTATTTACTTGTAATAGTAAACATTGTTAAGTACAGAAACTTGATCGGTGTTTTCAGTCAACCTGAGCCTAAGGGGCAGGTAAACTGGGAATTGTGGGTACTCAATCTTTACTTCTGTGATGTCTCCAGGAATAGTAGGGCGACACTTCCAGTGCGGCTCTCCAATGAGATCAAACAGCTCCAAATATGATATGATGAACACTGTGTAAGTTTATATTTGAGCATGGACTGCCAAGTTTAACTTGTGTTTTTCTGTATTACAAATATATTGCAATTACTTAGGAGGCCCAACTCTAATACCACCACCATCCAACCCCCGTACAATGGTAACACCCTGTGGCACATACACATCAACATGCCTCTCTCCTCCCCACCCCGAGCACAATGGCCCAACACCACTCCACGGCTCTCCCCATCCGACTCAAGGAAATCCCCAGAGCTCACGTAGTCATACTATTCACGTGGCTAATTAGTTATGTTTTCGGTCAATGGTAACTCCCAGAATGCTGACGAGTGAAATCAATGATGGTACTGTCACTGATTGTCAAGGGGAGACTGTAATTGCCTGACACTCTTGTGCCACAAATGTCACTTAAGCCCAAGCCTGAATGCTGCTGCACAGAGGCACAGACTGCTTCAGTGTTCAAATCATTGCAAACGATGCTCAACATTAGCAATCAGTGAACTTCCCCACTTTGGACATAATGATTTAAGGAAGATCATTGATAAAGCAGCTCCCATCAACTTTTTATCAAAGCTGAAGTTAATGGAACAAGGGGACAGAGACGGTGACTTCGAGAAGAGATCAAGACAGATCATCCTCTTGGCACTTCTGGCTCAAAATACTTGTGAATTCTTCTGCCTTGTCTTTTGCATTGATATGGGTTTAACTGTCAAACGCTTGCAAGGCTGTGAATGGGCTACAGTTATTTGCCACACAAGAATGGTGCACAAATATCTTGCCACAGGACTACACATTCAATTCAGGACTGATTGCACCCTCTCAATGAACAAAGGCGCTGTGCTTGCTCATATGTACTCAGTAAACGTTCATAGAATTGTAGAATCCCTAGTGTGTGGAAGCAGGCCATTCAGCCCAGTGAGGCCACACCACCCCTCTCTGAAGAGCATCCCAACCAGACTCACCCCCATACCTTATCCCTGCATCCTTGCATTTCCCAAGGCTAATCCACCTAGCCTGCACGTCTTTAGATTATGGGATCAAACAGGAGCATCTGGAGGAAACCGACACAGACACAGGAAGAATGCGCAAACTCCAAACAGACAATTGCCCGAGGCTGGAATTGAACCCAGGTCCCTGGCACTGTGAAGCAGCAGCGCTAACCACTAAGCCATGGTGCTGCTATTGGGTAACCTCAGAACACAACTAGGAGGCGGTGGCAATCCAGGCCCAAGCCTGCACTGCCTTTTAATATGATCATGGTTGATCTTACCTCAGCCTCATTTGCTTGCCCATTCTCCATAACCTATTAGCCCACTACTGATTGCAAATCAGTTTATCACCTCAAATTTACAGAAGTCCTTGCACTCATCACACGGAGGTTATGAATTTCACAGATTCAGGAACCTGTGAGAAGTAATTTCTCATCTGTTTTAAGTTTATTACCACTTAGCTTAATAACTATGACCTCTCAATCTACATTTCTGTAGATGAGGAAACATCCTCTCTACCTCCACCTTGTCAATCTCATTTAGCATCTTATATACGTCAATTAGATCACCTGTTATTCTTCTAAATTCCAGACAGTACAGGCCTAAACTTCTAAATCTCTCTTCAGAGGACAAACCCAAGTGGAATACGAGTTGCTGTTCCTGCAACCTTCGGGTGGCATCGTTGTGGCACTGCAGGAGGCCCAGGATGGACGTGTCGTCTGAGGAATGGGAGGGGGGAGTTGAAATGGTTCGCGACTGGGAGGTCCAGTTGTTTAGTGTGAACCGAGCGTAGGTGTTCTGCAAAGCGGTCCCCAAGCCTCCGCTTGGTTTCCCCGATGTAGAGGAGGCCACAACGGGAACAGCGGATGCAGTATACCACATTAGCAGACGTGCAGGTGAACATCTGCTTGATGTGGAAAGTCTTCTCGGGGCCTGGGATGGGGGTGAGGTGTAGCACTTCCTGCGGTTGCAGGGAAAAGTGCCGGGTGTGGTGGGGCTGGAGGGGAACATGGAGCGGACAAGGGAGTCACGGAGAGAGTGGTCCCTCCGGAAAGCAGATAAGGGTGGGGAGGGAAAAATGTCTTTGGTGGTGGGGTCGGATTGCAGATGGCGGAAGTGTCGGAGGATGATGCGTTGGATCCGGAGGTTGGTGGGGTGGTACGTGAGGACGAGAGGGATTCTGTTTTGGTGGTTATTGCGGGGAGGGGGTGTGAGGGTGAGTTGCAGGAAATGCAGGAGACACAGTCGAGGGCGTTCTCGACCACTGTTGGGGGGGGGGGGGGGGGGGGGGGGGTGTGGTCCTTGAAAAATGAGGACATCTGTGATGTATGGGAGTGGAATGCCTCATCCTGGGAGCTTCTCTGATGCTGCTTGGCCTGCTGTGTTCATCCAGCTCTACACCTTGTTATCTCAGATTCTCCAGCATCAGCAGTTCCTACTATCTCTGAAACAATTAGTAGACTGCCTGTATTTATTTGATGAAAAAAGGTTTTTGTTCTTTAAAATTAATCAAGGTAACAGCAGAATTAGAACAGAAATATCAGACTTAAAATCAACAGAACTAAAGCACTTCATAACCAGAGCCAACTATAACATTCTTCTGACAACTGATATATCAAAATTGAATAGGAATTCAAGTGAAGATAATGTAAAACATTAACAAAAAATTGTGATCTAAATTATATGAACATCCATTTAGATGTATCGAAAGGAACAGCATACCCTATTCTAATTTTTATTATATAGGCATGGAAGTTTCACATATTTCTCCTATTTTCTCTTGATTACAGCATCAACTTAAAACAATTTCAGATAAATTATGATAATTCCACTTGACAAAAATGGTGGTTCCTGCAAAAGATCTACATGGTTTCTGTTAGCTCCAACAATACATAGATGCTCGATTTTTTTTGCATAACAACAAAATTGTGGCTCAGTCTGCATGACAAGTGAGGTGATAATATATTACAAAAACATAGTATAATTTACCAATATCATTACCTCTAGTACATAACAGCACGACAGAAAAGGCTACATGCATATTTCCACTGTCTTAAAATTAACATATCCAAACATGTTATAAAATATCCAAATACACTGACATTTACATGTTATTGGTACTGTGGTTTGTCAAAAGGTTAAATTAAATTTAAGACTCTCAATAAAGCGTAACAAGTTACCTTGGGTTCTCTCTCTGCTCTCTCCGATGTCAGTGCTGATAGTTGCCACTGTATCTGCCAATGCCATTAAAAACATTTGCTCCATACTGGTAAGACCAGGCAGACTGGAATGCAACAAATGACTAGAAAGGACTCGAGCATGCTCAGGACCAAAGTAGGTAAGACTGTACTGGGAAAGGTCAATAATCTTCAGTTTATTGTCATCATCAACACTGAAGCTATCGAGTAAATCTGTACCGAGGTTGGACGTTGCAAATAATTCATCATAATTGCTTCCTGTTGACTGTCTGCAGTTTTTCTTGCTGATATTAGGTCGTTTGCTTGGTTTTTCAAAAGTGGTATGAGAAATATCTTCATCAGCAGCTAAAAGTGCACACAGAGGAAGAGGGGGGATAGAGTCTATTTCTGTATAGTCAGGATTTTCACTTTTATTTGACGTTAATGGATCTCTTGCCGTGCTGCCACTTGCACTAATCGTCAGAGATCTGAGTCGTCGTTCGTGGCTTGTTTCAGCATCATTTATAGTGATTACTTCTCCAGCTATACATTTGACTAAATGAGACAGGATGGCTTTGGACCGTCTGATTTTACCCAAGTCCATTAACTCCAAAAGCTGCAAAGGATGGTACTGAGGCAGAGGGGGAGACAAATCATGAGACGCTTCAAAAAGGCCCGAGTCCTCCATTTCAATATTCCATTGAAATGGTATCTTTTTACCACCAAATTTCTGAGCAAGCCCAGTCATTGACCTGGTCAGGTTTTTTCTGTACAGGAAAGGGTTGGAACCATTCGCAGTGCCATATTTTGCCAGACTAACCACTGATGGAGTACTACCGCTTTCAGCTTCAGTTATCACGGGATCCAATTTGTCATGTGGTTGCCATTGTGAATAAACATGCATTTCACAATCCATCCCCACCACGAGGATACCATCACGCACCCAAGAAAGTGAAACTGGCAATGACAATGATCCATCCACAGAAGAAACCAAATCCACACTTCTGAGAAGCACCCATCTAGACTGAGATACTTCTTTGGCATTATCCCACAAAGACAAAGATAAAACTGCTGGTGCTTCTTTCTTGGCTTGATTTTGTATCATTCCAGAAACCTGCCCATACATTAGAAGTTTAGATCCAATTCCTATTGTTAAGACATGAGATCCATCCTCCTTGGAAACCCAATCTAAGTGAACCAAAGGTTTTGCTTCAAAAGTCATTTGATGATCAGTCAAATGTGATTCTTGCTTATTGTAAATCACTAAGTTACTATCAATACTGATTCTTGGATCCAATATGGCACCTGTGTGACTCAAGTCATCCAGGTGGATTGTCTGTTCAAGAATCCATTGTGAGCCTCCTGTTGATTCACATTCAAATATACCCACATGCATGGTGAAGTGTTTACTGGAATGTTCATTAACTGGTTTCGACTGCTTGTAAGCCACAGCAAGTCGGCTTGTGTAAGAACAGCTTACATCGACTGGTCTTCCTGGTACACTCACAGAACTGCTGTTCACAACTCCTCCTTCAATCAGTAAAGGCCATTCTTCCCAACAATAGGAAAATTTACTCTCCAAGCTATCCCCAGCTGCAGATGATGCTGAATGAGCTGACACCTGACATCGCCAGAATCTGACCTTTCCATCCGAGCAAGAAGTTGCTAGAAGATATGGAGCAAGGCAAGCTGGATGAACTGATGAAGAACTCAGGTGCCCTGCAGTAAGAAAGGAAGGTTCATGGAAATAAAGATAACAAGAATAATAAAAAAAAAAAAAAATCAATAGTGAACCAACTTTTCACATTCAAAATCAGATCAGAACAACTTTACGATGGAAGTGAATGGGACGTTTATATTTTTTAGTTAAAATTACCTTCTTAAAGAAAATCTGTGCAATTGCAACTCAAGTTTCTTCACTTTATGGTGATCAGATAAGACAGAGGGAGCAAGAATGGTGAGGACTTTTAGTAAACACTACACTTAATGCACCATGGATGCAATACTGAGAACACTGGACAGCAAAGTCCCAAATATCATGCCAAATCTGTGATCAAATAGTTTCTCTCAAATATTCCTCTAACTGAGTTTAACGTTGCTGAAAAAGACTGGCATTCAGAGTGGAAGGAGCACAGCCAGGAGCATCTTTCACCACTTTGCACTGTCAGTCACTTTCATCATTCAATGATATTACGGCTAATCTTCAACTTAACATACCTAATTTCCTCAATATCCATTAATACCTCGAGATACAAGAAAAAGTCTCAGATTTAAAATTATTGACTTAGCTGGCAGCAATTACCATTTTTGGAGGAATATCAAACTTCTCACACCTATCGGATGCAAGTATTTGCTAAATTCACTTCTGAAGAGGCATGGTTCTAATTTTTAGACCTACCTAGTCCTGAATTCCTCAGCCAGCACAAAATTTTTCTGAATGAACCCTATCTACTTTGCTAACCTGTTAACAATTCAAAAATTAGGATTCTACTTCCTGAAATTACATAATCCTTCCCCATAAGTTAGCCCTTCACTGCACTCACTCATTGTTAGAGCAGAGCATTTACAAATATATTACTCCATATCAAAGTCAGCATAGTTTCCTGAAGGGGAAACCATATCTGACAAATTTATTAGAATGTTTTAAGGTAATATGGATTACAGATAAAAGGATTGTAATTGGCGTTTTATAAGGTACCAAATATTCAGCTACTTCAAGCGGTAAAAGTCCATGATGTTGGAAGTAGTATATTCATGTGGATAGAAGGTTGGCTGACAATTAGAAGACAATTGGGAGAAGGGGGGTGAGGGGAGGGGTCATTTTCAGTAAGGCAACCTTAACTAGGAGTGCAACAGGAAGCATCATCGCTGATTTTTTTTTTGCTGCATAGACCTCTCAGATCCATGTGCAGCAGCAACATCCAGGAGCAGGAGCTAATGCTGTAAATTCCATGCACAAACTCTTGCAGTGGCTGCACATGTGCATAGCCTAGAGAGAACACTGGCCACAGGGATCGGTGCTGGGGCTACAATTATTTATAACACATTAATAACTCGGATGACTGAAGTGAATATACTATTGCTAAGTTAGCAAGCAACACAAAAATAGTTGGAAAGGCAAATGGCAAGGAAGACAGTCACTCATGGGTATAGACAAGTTAAGCAAGTGGGGAAAAATTTGGCAAGTGAAATATGGGAAAATGTGAGGTTTTGCATTTTGGCAAGAATAGGGAAGAGGATATTATTTACATGGCGCAAGACTGCAGAATGCTGCAGCACAGGGGGATTTAAGTCCCTGTGCATAAATAATGAAAAGCTAGTATACAAGTTAACAGGTAATAGGGAAAGCAAATGGATTGTTGGCTTTTGTTTCAATGGGAAAGAAGTATAAGAGTAGAGAAGTTTTGCTAAAACTTTACAAAGCACTAGTCATACCACAGGTGAAATACTGTAAACAGATTCGGTCCCCTTATTGAAGAAAACTATGCTGGCATGGGTTACAGAGCAGAAACAGGTTGATCTCTGAAATGGAGGGACTGTCTTATGAGGAGACGTGGAGTAGGTTACGCCTGCACCCATTGGAGTTGAGAAAAATGAAAGGCAAATGCATTGAAACAGACAAGATTCTTCAGAGACTTGACAGGATAGATGCACAGTTTTTTTCTGCAGTGGCCATAATCAGGACTGTCCATTTAAAACAGAGGTGATAAGTAATTTCTTCTGAGGATAGTGAAACTGCAGAATTCTTCACCGTAGATGGCGACTGAGGCTGGGTCATTAAGTATATCCAAAGCTGAGATGAACAGATTTTTAATCAGGATGGGAATAAAAGGTTACAGGGAAAAGCAGGAAAGTGGAGTTGAGGATCATCAAAACAGCCACGACTTCACCAAATAGCAGAATTGACTCGATCAACTGAACGGCCTACTTCTGCTCCCATATTTATTGGCCTAACATTTTCTTACTGTGTTCTCACATTATGTAAATTGATGTCGTGAAATTTACCAATTTGTCTAAATCTTTAAATTAGGTCTGTGATTATACACTTAATTGTCTGCAAAGTGTTTCCAATGTTCTGAAATCATGATCTGTCCATTTAAATGTAATTTCCTTCTTTCTTAAAGTCCTTTGCTAGCTTCTGGAAGCTGCACAAAATCTTCTTGGAAATGGAAGTCAGTCTTACATTTTGAGACGAGTTGTGCTCCTAATTACGGACAAAATGCACCACTCTTAAAAATAACCTCTGTGATCCAACTGTGGATGTGTAATTGCATTATAGAAATCCATCTGCACATGTGAAAGTTGCACACCTGACATGTTAGGCTAACAAAAAAAATGCCCTTTACTTTCAATATACAAAGGTGGAAATCAAAATAAAACAGGTAGAATTAGAATTTAAATCACCCCTCTCTTCTCTGCCACTTCCTATACTAGAGAGTATCTTGCACAGTTTATGTAGTGAACAACTTTGATCAACATCTTGGGTTCTTTGTCTACATTACAACTAGACAGAAGGTCATATCAAAATGCGAGCTACATCGTAACTGAAAAAAACGTTATCAATGCAACGAGACTTGAAAAATCATTATTCACAGGTTCTGCTACAAATGTTTTTCATTTAATAGTTAGGCTTTCAGTTTCCTAGAAGGCTCCAGGAAGTACTGGCCACAAATACAGCCTGCTTATGGTGGCTATCATAATGTTGGAAACAACCCAAGTGCTTTACAGTCAACAAGGCACTTTTTAAAAAGTGTAAATTGCAGTACAAGTTAGGAGATATAGCAACCAATTTGCACACATAATGCACCACAAACAGGAATGCGATACAGTCTAGATCATCTGTTTTTTCATGTTGGTTGACGAATGAATATTTGCTTTGACATCCATGAGAACTCCACTTCTTTGAAATGCTGTCAAGGAATCCTTTAGTCGACACAACAAATGGCATTTCAAGTAAGAACCCGAAATGTTCATCTTGTATTCCTTTTCAGACATTAATTGGACTGCTATAGACTTTCAGCCTTTTATCTTATTTCAGGTGTAAACATTTTTGTTTGTTTTTCTTGTATGTAAAATGAAGAGATACAAATTTATCTAGAACTCAAATAGAACATAGAACAGTACAGCACAGTACAGGCCCTTTGGCCCACGATGTTGCACCCACCTATTATCCTCCTCGAAGATCAAACTACCCTGCAAATAAATCAATTAAGCTTAATATAATATAGATTTCTGGTTGCAATAACTTTTCAAATTGACACAACTGAAACACAGAACTGCTTATATATAACTGTACAAACAGTAAGCTTAAACTAATTCAGTGTGACTTTGTTTTAATCATAAAACATACTAACCTGCAGAAGGAGTAGCTCTAATGATTTCCACGCCCTCTGGCAGAGCTAATTCTTGGCTATAAACTCTTTTTGAGTTCAGAGCTAATCGACTGGCGCTTTGCAAATTTGCTTTACAAGCCTGGTATTTTTTGAAGAAAGGAGAATGCAACTTCTCAGAGGCAAAACCATTCTGTTCCTCTAGAGGTGACAAAGCAGTTTCAGTAGCATTATCTAAGAGAAAACATTTTCATTAGTTGATTCAGCTAGCAGTTTACAGCATTATCAAAGTCTCGGTACACTGTACCTGCTACCATAACATAAAGCATACTGTGTAACGTGAGTAGATTGATAAATATGTTACACTCCATAATAGATCAAAAGGTCAAAGTAGTAGTAGTGAGACTGACAAGCAAGATTTATTTCTGGCAATCTACTGTTTATATTTTTGCTGCAGAGCCTCAAAATTTAACACAGCATTCTGGTCCAGCATCAACTAGTAGAAACTGAATTCTAATAACGTCTTTCAAGTTATGTAATAGTTGCACTTGTTTTTGAGCCAGATTAAAAAGCAAAGGATTTGGTGGTGATGAGGATGCAAGTGGATCTCTCCCTTTAGTATTGTTATTAACGGGAGGTTAAATTAAATGAAATCCTTTCACTCACTCTAAGCAAAAAGCAACAACTTATTTAACTCTAACAGTGAGCAAATTAACAGAACCAGAAACAAACCGAACACTTCTCCCTTAACTATTGACCATTGCCGAATAAAACAAAATCCTAATTGTATGCTGTTCTAATAGATAAAAGTACTAATTATATAAACCAAATTAATAAAAAAAATCTTAGAACTTAGTCTCTGAAACTATAGCCAGGATAAGCCTTCTGGAATGTTCTTCCCCTTTTCCGTTGCCCCCACTCAGGAACGCCTTCCTCTATCAAATTCGTGTGTCAGGAATATTAGCTAAGAGTTCCACAGTACCTTTTAAGATTGTTTTCTCTCTGGCTCTCACTAATCTCTAAGATCACAGTGATTTACTCTTTCTTTAGAGCGGATAGCTGTTGACAGCTGTTCTCTTAACAAATGGCAGTTTACTCTCACCCCCATTTTCAAATGCCTTCTTCTTTTACATCCTTGATGACCTTGAGGATGTGAAAACCATCAGATTTAAATTTAATTGGGCTTTGGTATCTCGGGCCTGGTTGAAATTAATTGGCTAAAGTTGAAAACCTGGTGTCTCAGTAAAATGCTACTTTGCCTGCTAACAAAATAGCCTTTTGATACAACGTTTCAATTTCAAGAACTCTCTAAATCTGCTGCTGCCTGCAGAATTTTTTTTTTAAATCTCCAAGCCTAAAAAAACCTTTTTTAGAGGGACCATGCACTCTTCTAGTCCCCCCTCCCCCACTATCATTTTACAAGCTAATTGTAATGCCCTGCCTTCTAATCCATAAGTACTCTACCAACTTCGCAACAGTATGTTCAACCAGAATTCTGGCGCTTGCTCCAATTACCAGTTTAGAGTATTTTCAAAAATTCTTTCGAGGGATGTGAGTATTTATTTCTTATTAGACTGAAACCTTGGGTGGCAGGACTGACGTGAACAGAGTGTGGATCAGGACTATGTTCACTCCATTTTGAAGACTAGGGTTGTGGGTGGATCTCAAACTTGTAGAATTCTAATAAGATTAGACAGGCTAAATGCAAGCATGACATTCCTGATGACCATAAAGTCCAGAATCAGGGTCACCATCTAAGGATATAGTGCAGGCCAACAGGAATGATATGAGAAGAAATTTCTTCACAGTGGTGAGCCAATGGAAAACTTTACCATAAAGAAGTTGAGGCCAAAACTTTGAATGATTTCAAGGAGGAGCTAGACATAGCTCTCAGGGCTAAAGAGATCAAATTGTATGGGGAGAAAGGAGGAACAGGGTACATAGTTGGATGATCAATGACCATACTGAATGGGGGACAGGCAAGGCTGAATGGCAAAGTTGTGCTCCTATTTTCTATTTTTCTGCCCCTATCCCCAACTGTTTGGGAAGCGGTGAGTCATCCTATTGAATCACCGGACATGTGTGTCTTGGCATTAACATGTCTCCAAGTACACAATGATGGGAGTGAACACTCTTTTCACTTTTTAAAAAAGGTGATTCTTCAACAACATAGGGCTATGTGATCAATGGTTCATTCACCTCAAAATATCCAACTATCTGTCTCTTCTGCTACATCTGATCAGTGTTTCCAGCATATTCTGGAAAATAAATTCTGAACCATTGAAGAAATGAAAGTCCAGAAGGCTTTATTAGTTTTGACTGTTCTGAACCTGTTTAAAGAATTCATGATTGAAGACAAAAGACAGAGGCAACAGAATTGTGATGGTATGCATCTAGAAAAACCAAAACCATAAAGTACGTAACTAGTGAATTTAAAAATACAAATTTTCCTGTATAAAAGTGACCTGCAAAACACAGGAATTCAAAATGCAAGTTGATTACTAATAACCGCTTCATCTACAGATAATTCCTGCAGGTTCACAGAATTAAATTTTACTTCTTTTCTAAAAACAACCAATCTTGTCACATCTCCTGTGAAAGGTCCTGTGATAAGTAATTTGAAACAGTCGCAAAGTGAAGAGGTTACAATACTGACATCAAAAATTAAGTAGATCCAAAATTAGCACATCAGCACTGCAACATTGGTACATGTTGTCTTTGGGCTGGCAAGGTTAAGTTTCACGAGGCAGCTAAATTCATAATTTTTGAAGCAGTGAACTAATCCTTCAATCTAAAACCATCCAAACTTCTTCACTCACAAAATTGCTGTTTTGAGAGGTTACTTTCATATGGAAATTCAGATCTGCTCTGGTTAGTTTGACCACAGTGGATAATTCCATTCAGTCCCTATATTAAAGTCAATTTAAACTTGTTATAATGACACTTACCAACAGATATTGGATCCGATTTCAGGTGTAAATGCCACATATGCAATACTGAACGATTGTTCTGCTTATGTTCAATGACCACCAAAAAGAACTTTTCTGAAAAGTCATCATGTGGTTCTTCTGTAAATTAACAATAATTAAACAGTGCTTCACATAATCTGGATCATTACCTAGAGAATAGTACATCAGCAAACACTAAAGAAACAAGAGTTTTTTTGGGCAGGAGGCCACTCCCATTCCCTGCTCAGCAGATCCTTTCATCCATCCCGAACACCCTTTCTCCACCAGGACCTTTCCTTCTAAACTCTTACTTGTTCTTGATCTTTTCAAAAAGCACTGTTTGCTGCTCCTCCTAACCACTATAAATTACCTTGCTTTAAACTTGCCACACTTCATAGTTTCAGGTCTAACGTGATCTTTATGTTAAACCTGCTGACAAGAATACAACCACTTGAGATGGCATACCAATCTGTACCCTGCAGAGGCAGAGCCTCAAACATGACGTCTCCACACCCACTACCCCGGACACTAACCCCTTCACTGACCATTAAACCAGTGTTTCCAGGATGGTCAGTGAGCTTTTCATCCCTGTGGCTTTGGGTACCTGCATGGGCCTGAGTCATGTCTGTTTGTGATATGTGTAAATTCCTTGTTTCAGCCTACTCAATACCCCTCCTAGAACTTATCCTCCAGCGTATTGATGATTATACCTGCAGCACATCTTACTCATCCAGAAACCTGGTAATTTGATCAATTTTACTTTCAACTTCCACCACTTGTCTCACTTTTATCTGGTGCAAATGACTTTTCCCTTCTGTGCGACTTCTTGGTCCCCATTTTCTGGGAGAGATTATCTATTAATACTTATTACAACAATCTAATTTCACTGCTACTTTGACGGCACTTCTTCACACATTCCTCTTACAAATGACTCCAGATTCTCTATCTCCATCACATTTGTTCTGATGATATTACCTTTCAAAACATGTTTCCAACAGGTCTTCCTTTTCCATTAAGCAAATATCTCGTCTCCCCTACTCCACCCCTACAGTCATAGTTGATAGGAACCACGTTTATGTCTGACCCATTTCTGCCATCACCCATTCTCCCTGCTATTTCCAACATGATGGATCACCAAACACATCTTTCCTTCCTCTTTCAGCATTTCAAAGCGACCATTCCCTCCACGGCACCCGGTCCGTTCCTCTATCACCCCCAACACCCAACACTCTCAAGTGGTGTAATAGTTTTATTTAAATTGTCTTTCCCCTCACTGGCTAAGGCTCTAAACAGTCCTACCAACTGAAGCAGAAATCTATTTATACTTCTTTCAATCCCATCAACACCAAATGCTGCTGCAGAATTGTCGTCTCCTGCCTTTGGTCTCCCAAATATAAATTAGGTAGAACACTTTTGCTTGGTTTGCAAGCATAACCTCAACCTTCCCATTGCTTGCCATTTTTATATACCCTCTTGCTCTCACTCATGTTTTTGCCCTCAGCCTGCTGCAATGTTCCACTGAAAGTCAATGCGAGCCAGAAGAACAGTGCCTCATTTTCTGATTAGGCATTTTTACTGCCTTCTGGACACCACATGGAGTTCAACAGCTTCGCAGCATGAACTCTACATTCCTTTTTGATATTTGTTGTTCTCCCCTCTACCCTTGCCATATTGTTTTCGTGTTCTTGCTTTCAGTCAAAGATGACCTTTATTCTGCCATTAACACATACTTTGGACCAATGCCCTTCTCTAGAACTATTACCATTCCATTTGCCTTTTGTTCTATGACACCTTTAATCTCTAATCGCCTTCTAATCTTTTCTTCAACTTTTTTCCTGTTGTTTACTGCTCCCCCTCCGCATCTTCTGTATAGAAACCTATAACCTAAACGCTGTAATGTTCTATGTTCTATAAATACCACCCTTTTCCTAGCTACCATCAGTTCTGAAGAAGCGTCACTTGACCCAAAATTTTAACTGATTTCTCTCCACAGATGCTGCTGGACTTGCTGAAATTTTCCAGCAGGTTGTGTTTTTGTTTGTATTTGTATTTAGTATTGTAGTGGCATTCATTGACATGATGTGGGAGTTAATAGATAGGCCAACACTTACTGCTTACTCTTACTTGCCCCCAAGATGGCAGTACTGAGCAGCATTCTTGAACTGCTTCAAGTCATGCAGTGTAGGTACACCTACTGCACTGTTAGAAAGAGTGATCTTGAATTTTAATCAAGTAACAGTGAGGAAATTGGAATATGGTTACAAATCCAGATGGAGAGAGACTTGGAGAAGAGCTTGCAAGTGATGACATTCTCGTACATCTGCTGCCTGTGTTCACCTAACTGGTGGAGGCTACAGCTTTGGAAAGCACTGTTGAAGCAGCACTGGTGAGTTACTGCAATAAATAATTTACATGAAATGCTGTTGCCACTGCGTTAGTAATGGATGGAACGAATGTTGAAGGCGTGGATGCGGTGCCACTCTAAGTGAGCTGCTTAGAGTCTGTGAAATGCCAAATTGAAGTTTTAAAATGGGACTATGTTGATAAGTGATTACTGTTTGATTAACTGCCTTTTCCCAGAAATTTCCAGTTACATTTATTGTCAAGTTAGGTAACATACAAAGAAGGAGAAATAAAAAGCCAATGCTTCAGGCCAAGTACTGAAGGGTCATGGAGCAGACATGTTAACTCTGTCTCTCTCCACAGGTGCTGCCTGGCCTGCTGAGCATTTCCAGCATTTGTTTTTATTCCAAATACTGCAGATTCTGGACACTAGAGTTGTAAAATCTATAATAATGTCAGAAAACAGATTTACATTATGGCAATTTAAAAAAATTACCAAGCATCTTAGCAAATTTCAAAAGCATCTTGAGGCACATCAGGGTCAATTATATTAGTAACAACACTTAATCAAGTAAGCATGGCATAAGAAAAAAAGTAAACTTAAATTAAATTCAGAGATAGTAGGAACTGTCGATGCTGGAGAATCCGAGATAACAAGGTGTAGAGCTGGATGAACACAGCAGGCCAAGCAGCAGAGGAGCAGGAAAGCTGATGTTTCGGGTCTGGGCCCTTCTTCAGAAATGGGGGAGGTGAAGGGGATTCTGAAATAAATAGAGGGAGAGGGGAAGGTGGATGGAAGATGGATAAAGGAGCAGATAGGGGGAGAAGAGATGGACAGGTCAAGGAGGCGGGGATGGAGCCAGTAAAGGTGAGCGGAGGTGGCATGTTAGGGTGGGGATTGGTCAGTCCAGGGAAGACGGACAGGCCAAGGAGGCGGGGATGAGGCTGGTAGGTAGGAGGTGGGGGTTAAGGTGGGAGGAGACGATAGGTGGGAGAAAGGATGGACAGGTTAGGGAGGCGGGGACGAGCTGGGCTGGTTTTGGGATGAGGTTGGGGGCAGGGAGATTTTGAAGCTTGTGAAATCCACATTTATACCATTGGGCTGCAGGGTTCCCAAGCGAAAGGAGGTGCTGTTCCTGCAACCTTCGGTGGCATCGTTGTGGCACTGCAGGAGGCCCAGGATGGACATATTGTCCAAGGAATGGGAGAGGGAGTTGAAGTGGTTCGCGACTGGGAGGTGCAGTTGTTTGTCACGAATCGAGCGTAGGTGTTCCACAAAGCAGTCTCCAACCCTCCGCTTGGTTACCCCGACGTAGAGGAGGCCACATCGGCCACAGCAGATACAGTATACCACATTAGCAGATGTGCAGGTGAACATCTGTTTGATGTGGAAGGTTTCCTTGGGGCCTGGGATGGGGGCAAGGGGGGAGGTGTAGGGGCAGGTGTAGCACTTCCTGAGGTTGCAGGGAACAGTGCCGGGGGTGGTGGGGAGTGTGGAGTGGACAAGGGAGTCACGGAGAGAATGGTCCCTCCGGAAGGCAGATCAGGGTGGGGAGGGAAAAATGTCTTTGGTAGTGGGGTCAGATTGCAGGTGGCGGAAGTGTTGGAGGATGATGCGTTGGACCCGGAGGTTGGTGGGATGGCACGTGAGGACGAGGGGAATTCTGTTTTTGTCGTTATTGTGGGGAGTGGGTGTGAGGGATGAGTTGCGGGAAACGCGAGAGATGCGGTCGAGGGCGTTTTCAACCACTGTGGAGGGGAAGTTGCGGTCCTTGAAAAATGAGGACATCTGGGATGCCCGGGAGTGGAATGCCTCATCTCGGGAGCAGATGCGGCAGAGGCGAAGGAATTGGGAATAGGGGATGGCATTTTTGCAGGAAGGTGGGTGAGAGGAGCTGTATTCTGGGTAGCTGTGGGAGTCGGTAGGCTTGAAATGGATATCGATTTCCAGGTGGTTGCCAGAGATGGAATCAGAGGTCCAGGAAAGAGAGAGGGGTATTGGAGATGGTCCAGGTGAACTTAAGGTTGGGGTGGAAGGTGTTAGTGAAGTGGATGAACTGTTTGAGTGCCTTGTGGGAGCACAAGGCAGCGCCGATACAGTCATCGATATAATGGAGGAAGAGGTGGGGCATAGAGCCAGTGTAGCTTCAGAAGAGGGATTGTCCCTACAAGGAGGCAGGCATAGCTTGGGCCCATGTGGGTACCCATGGCCATCCCCTCTGTCTGTAGGGAGTGGGAGGAATTGAAGGAGAAGTTGTTAAGGGTGAGACGAGTTCAGCTAAACGGACAAAGGTGTCAATGGAGGGAAAACCTTCCATATCAAACAGATGTTCACCTGCACATCTGCTAATGTGGTATACTGTATTCGTTGTTCCCGATGTGGCCTCCTCTACATCGGGGAAACCAAGCGGAGGCTTGGGGACTGCTTTGCAGAACACCTACGCTCGGTTCGTGACACACAACTGCACCTCCCAGTCACGAACCACTTCAACTCCCTCTCCCACTCCTTGGATGACATGTCCATTCTGGGCCTCCTCCAGTGCCATAACGATGCCACCCGAAGGTTGCAGGAATAGCACCTCCTGTTTCGCATGGGAACCCTGCAGCCCAATGGTATCAATGTGGACTTCACAAGCTTCAAAATCTCCCTGCCCCCAACCTCATCCCAAAACCAGCCCAGCTCGTCCCTGCCTCCCTAACCTGTCCATCCTTTCTTCCACCTCCCCACTCCTCCCACCTCAACCCCCACCCCGACCTCCTACCTACCAGCCTCATCCCCGCCTCCTCGACCTGTCTGTCTCCTCTCCACCTATCTGCTCCTTTATCCATCTTCCATCCGCCTCCCCCCCGCTCTGTTTGTTTCAGAATCCCCTTCCCCTCTCCCATTTCTGAAGAAGGGTCCAGACCTGAAACTTCAGCTTTCCTGCTCCTCTGATGCTGCTTGGCCTGCTGTGTTCATCCAGCTCTACACCTTGTTATATCAACTTAAATTAGCTGCTTTTCCATTTGAATATTAAACAAATTTGAATGACAAAGCTCTAAACCGACTTCAAAAGGATAGCTCCAACTTTGTGGGCTGGATAGACAAATGGTAGATGACGTGGTAGATAAGTGTGAATTGATGCAGTTTGCACTCAAGATTGTGCAAAGATAATCAAACTAAAGGACATAATTCTGAAGGAGGTGCAAGAGCAGAGGGACATGACAAGGGTATTGATACACAAATTGTTGAAGGTGGCATGGAAGGTTCAGAAACCAGTTTGCAAGTATGGGATGCTAAGCAAAGTTGCAAACCTTTTATGAAACATGAGATCAATCTCAATTAGAGTATTGTGTCTATGTCAGGACAGCACACTCTAATAAGGATGTGAAGACATTGGAAACAGTGCAGAAAATAGTTATGAGAATGGTTTGAGGGCTGAGACACCACAGTAATTTGGTTAAGCCTGGGGCTGTTTAATTCAGAAAAGTCAAAGTTGAGATGAAATTTAACACAGGTATTCAAAACCCTGGTTGGGGCAGCTAGGGAGTCAAAAGAGTCAAAACCAGAGGACACGGATTTCAACTCATTTACAAAACAAGCAAAGACAAGAGGAGACACTTTTGCTAAGCAGAGCATAGTTAAAATCTGAGTGATGGAGGCTGCTTCAAGTGTTGCTTTCAAATGTTCACAAGAGAATTACTTTGGTAGAAAAGAAAGTGCAGTGTTGAGGAAAAGGCTGGGGAGTGGGACCAGCTGAATGGTTCTTGCAGAGACATAAACGTAAATGGCTTTTCATACTGCAGCCATCATACGATTTTTGTAAGACCATCAGAAACAAAGTAGGTTTTTGCTGTTCTCGTTAGTTTCTGTTGACTGAAAGCAAATTCTGAGCATTTGGTAATTTTAAACAAACACCCTTTATGTGCTGGAAACACGCAGCAGCTTGAGTCAACAGCCACAGAAAGAGAAAAAGAATTAACATTTCAGGTCAATAATCTTTCACCAGTACCAGAAAAATATTACAGATGTACCTGTTTTCAAGCAAGTAGAAAGACCGGAAAGGCTAACTTGAAACCGGAAATCTGTTTTGCTGCATGGATTTTGCCTGAGCTATAGACTTGTTCAAGTATTATTTGTCTTTTCTCCAGACATTTCATAGGTTTGTTTTAAGTTGACTTGAAGGTTTTATAACAGGATTATCAGGTCAAACAATATTAAAGAATTTTCAGCAAGGGAGTGTTTAGTGACTTTGGAACTTTGGGGTGACTGCACGTAGACTCAGATGACAACATGTATATGTACTGTTCCAGGCTTTGTATATTTCTATGTCATGTGTAAAAGTCCACACTCTGCACTGAGCATGTGCACATAAAAGGCAAGATCTTGAAAACGGAAATCAAAATCAGACCACAGGAGAGACAATGGAGAGGCTGCGTTATGGAGGGGGTGGGGCATGGCAAATAGAGCAACACAGAGGATGGACAGGATTGTTTTTTGGGGGGGGGGGGGGGGGGGGGGGAGGGGGGAGAGAGCGGGGGGAGGGGGGGGGTGGGGGGGGGGGGGGGGGGGGGTGTGGAGGCAGAGAGAAGAACGATCAGGTTCATGGTGTTGGGAGGGTGCAAGAGGGAATGATCAGGGCTATGGTTTTTGGCTGGGGGTGGGCATGGGAAGCAAGTCTGTCCAATTTCTTCCCCGCCAGCTCTCCCTCTCCACTGACTAATCGTGTCACCCAAACCCCTCTCCTCCCCGGCCTGAGCTTGCTTTTCAACTTAAAAACGTAACTGCTTTGCTCCACAAATGCAGCTGGAACCAAAACCGACTAATGTTTATTAGAAGCAAAAATAAGGTTAAACACTTAATTTGCAAAAGTTAACAAAAAAAATGACATATTATTGAAGTAACAATAAAAATACACAGCAAAGCACTAAAATATTACCAATTTATTTGCACTGTTATGTAGGTGAAATGGTTGCTATCAAAAGACAACCCTGGAAACAAGTGTTTTAACATGTTAGAAGTAACGCAACACAGGCAGCATTATGCTACGAAGTCAAAAATGTGCATAGACAGCGCATGTTAAATTACATTTTCATGGAGCTGTTGGTGCAATGAAAGAACAATGAAAGAAATATTACACTACACAAATAATTTTGGTTATTAAAGCATTCCACGTTCTGAAAAAGCAGATTTGCATTGAACAAGAATTTATACCTGCTTCCTGCTGAGGACTGTTTTCAGTGGAAGTCTGTCTTCCCTTTTGCTGCATTTTCTTGGATTGATTAACTAATATAAAATCCTCCTTAAAGACGTGAAGTAACTGAGTCTCTTTTCCATACTAAAATAAATCCAATGTTCAAGTAAGTAAATAATAAAATGACTGATTGCATTTGTATCATATTTTCATAACCTTGGGATGTCAAAGTATTTTACAGGCAATGAAGTCAGTTTCCAGTGTAGTTCCTGGTTATAAAGTACAGCAGTGGATGTGCACACAAGGGCCTGCAAACATGCATATGATGTTGACCAAGTAATCTAGTTTCAGGGATATTAGTTTAACGATAAATATTGAGCAGAATACTAGGAGAATTGCCTGCTCTACTGTGAATAGTACAACCAAATCATCTTAGGGCTCTCCAATATAGCAAAAGAATGTTTGGATTAACAGCTCATCTGAAAGGCAGCATAACAGTAGAGATCCAAAGTTCAACCTCCATTTTGGGTGCCTGGTGAAAAGATTGAACCTTCTGGACTTGGGTGAAGGGGGCACCACAGAGTCAAGGCTGAAGCTAGCAAATTTATCATAGCTGTATTCAAATTTATATTTGTTGCTTTGACACTTAAAACCCAGTATTTTAACTTAAAAGCTGATGGAATACATTTTTGCCTCAACCGAGCAGTACAATTTACAATCTCTTCCATTTGTTTTGCGTTCACTGCCTTCTTACTACACAGATTTATTCCCCCAGAATCAAAAACTATTCTTGTTTCTCAAGATGCAAAGTCTAAGAAAAATTAAAGGGTACCTGTACACTATTTTTGTGTGTTTTTCTGACATGTGTGTGCAGTGTCTGCTATGCAAATCTAGTTTTAATCAAATCTTTTTTAGGAAAGAAATGACAACATGGAGCAGGTAGATTCCCAGAAAGATCAAATGTAGATTTAAGTTTTTTAAAAAACATTTCATGAGTTGAAGTTTTTATGATGGGCTGTCTTAGCATGAAGTTGACAAGCATTTCTACAGTAGCTGATCAGTAGAGTTCACTTGATCCTGAAACAAAGGGCGTTACAGTGAAGGACAGATATTATCCATTCACTGAACTAAAAGGAGATGGGACTATCAAACTGGCACCAATTGCAGTCATTGTTGCATTTCTCTCCATTCAATGACATATACTCAAAATAGTGAGTCCAACGGAACTGAACAGGCCAAAACTGCCAGATCTGTGGACAAGTAGGGCAGGATATGCCATGAAGCAACGTGCCTCAAGTGCAGGATTTACTTTCTTGTCTCTTCCTCTACCAGTCTGTCTCAATCAAAACTCTGGGACAAAGGAGCAATGAGGTTTGATGGACAATTAATGGCTATGCTCAACAACTGTTAATTCATTCGTCGCAATTATCAAGGCCAACGCCTCCCTACTTCACAAGAGCTTCAAAGCCTCCATGAGCCATTTCTTGGTCCTCCCCCAGACACTGGCCATTGTATTGAGAGAACAGGACCTAGAAAAGATGACCGTTTGTGGCTATCTGAATGATATGGTAAATTAACCCCTTTATTCTTACTTGAGAAGTTAACAAAAAAAGATAGCTGCCCAAATTACCATATCCATTTTTGTGCTTATCAATTAAATTCAGAACGGGGTGTGATAATATGTTAAATGACAAGTCGTGGTTGAATTGTTTGCATTCTTGCCTGAAATACTAGACTGTAACCAATTCCAGGAACAAAAGTACATACCTCAATTGATATCTCAGGTGTAGAATGAAGACAATGCAACACTGTTGAAGATATTTAATTTTGAATGTGTTACTTCAATGAGGCCTCTGCCCTATCTGGTGGATGCAAAAGATCACTTGGCAACATTTTGTTGAACAGGTAAGTTTTCTTTCGTGTCTGACCATTATTTATCCCTTAACCTCTGGGCATTCTCATCAGTGCTTTTTTTTGAGAAAGATCACCATGTTTCAATTGCTTGCTGCATTTCCTGCATTGCAATAGTGACTACATTTCAGAGGCTCATTGGTTGCAAAACACTGGCATAGAATGAGATAACTAAAACTGCAGATGCTGGAGTCAGAGATAACACAGTGTGGAGCTGGAGAAACACAGCAGGCCAGGCAGCATCAGTGGAGGCGGAAAGTGTGTGTTTTGGGTCAGGACCCTTCTTCAGAGTAATGTCCGTTTCTGAAGAAAGGTCCTGACCCAAAATGTCAACTTCCCTGCTCCTCTGATGCTGCCTGGGCTGCTGTGTTCCTACAGATCCACAGTATGTGAACTTTGGCATAGAATGAGGTTGTGTCATTTGGGCCACAAACACAGAATCCTACCTTTACACATTTATCACAGTCATACAAATGCATTTAATTTTCCATGCATATACTTAAGTGCAGAGCTGCAGAAGTAGAGAAAAAATGGACCAAAGCTGTCCATGTTCACATGCAACAAGGGGCGAACAATATTCAGGTTTGGGCTGTTAACTGGCAAGTGACAATCATGCCACACCAGTGCTGGGCAATGACCATCTCCAGCAAAACAGAATTGAACCATCTCCTCTCGACATTCAATAGCATTACCATTGCTAAACTTCCACACTTGCAACACTGAGTCAACACTGACCAGCAGCTCATCTGTGTCAGCCTTTGTAGATACAAGAGCAGGTGGGAGGCTCGGAAGTCTGACAGGAGTATTCTCACCACCTGTCCACCATCTACAAGGCATAAGTCGGGAATGTGACTGAATACTCTTCACCAGTCTGGAGCTATAAATTCCAATAACAGTCAAGAAGCTCAACAGGGCGAAGCATTATATTTGTTTAGCAACTGTCACCTTAAACATCCGTTTCTTTCATCAATGTACAGTAGCAGCAGTGTGTACCATTTACAAGATGCACTGCAACAAAACATCCAGACGTTTTTAATGGCATCTTCCAGACCCATGACTTCTGCCACGCAGAAGAACTAAGATAGTAAATGTGCGAGAACATTATAACCTGCAAGGCCCCCTCCAAGCAACACAACAGGAACTATGTTACTATTCTCGTATGCTGCTGCGTCAAAACCTTGGAGTTCATTGGACTTCATACCTAACAGTACTGTGGGTGACTCTACATGGACTGCAGCAGTTATATTCACTGACTCACCACCACCTTCTAATGGGTAATTTGGTAAATGTAGTCCTAGTCAGCAACACACACGTCTCATGAAAGAATTTTTAACAAAGCTACTTACAAGCTCAGTGATTGCATCCAGTTCTATTATGCAGCCTGGTCTTGCTGTTGATTGCTGGCTTACAATATTGAAAACCTCTCCAACAAATCTCTGTGACAACATATGAAAAGCAGGAGAATTGCTGTTCAAGCATATTGCCCTTTGACACAATTTCATGTGAAACAGCTTTTTAAAAGCACAAAAACTTCCATAAATACGTTAACATATAATATTACATCAGTTATCAAAAATCCTTGTATGTACACATCTCTATGTTCAAGGGAAAATAAACTGGCATTAACAAATCAGAACTTTTGCTTTTCCTTCCTCAAAGGAATTATTGATTAATATGTTCACAAAACATACTCTTATCATATTAAAGTGTATTACAATCCTTCAAGGATTGCTGAGCAAGTTGAGATCAAGCTCAGCATCATTGCACAAAGTATGCAAGCAGGTAAAATGGCAAAAATCAACAGCATGAACTGCACACGTTATCTACCATGAAGTGACGACATTAAAATACAGACAAAAATTAACAAAATATGCCCAGAAACTGTATGTACTGAAAAACATGACTTCAGGGCAAATTATTATTTGCAATACTCAAATATTGAGCACAATGAAACTTCACTTACAGCGATTTCTGGATTGGAAAGCTCACTTAAAATCTTTTTAGCGTCAATAACAGCTTGATATAATCTCAAGTAATGGCCATCGCTTGCCACAAAGCAAGCACTAGGAGAATTGCAATATGCGCCTGAAAAGAAAAACAAAATTTCAATCAGATGCCATAAAGCATCCACAAATTTACCGGGGGGAACAGATGACTGGTGACTTCACCAAGGAATAGAATCTTTGAGAAAAAGACATAATAACAGTTCAAGGTAATCAGGCAGAGGCAACATGGTTTTGTCAAAGGGAAATTGTGTTTAAACTAATTTATTGGAGTTATATGGAACATTAACTTGAGCTATGAATAAAAGGGAACCAGTGGGAGTACTGGACTTGGATTTCAAAAGCCATATAAAAAAGGTGCCACATTAAAAGAATATTGCCAAAATTAAAAACTCAGCCTGTGGAGGTTAACATATTGGCATGTACAGAAAAATTAGTTGGCCATCAAGAAACAGAATAGAATAAATGGGTCTTTTTCAAGCTGGCAGGATATCAAATGGCTTTTGGTGCAGAGGCCTCAACTCTTTATACTTCATATGAATGATTCAGATCAAGTGGCCAACAGTATGGTTACTAAATTTGCTGATGACACAAAAATAGATAGGAAACAAGTCGTGAAGAGGATGTAAACTTAAAAAAGGGATATAACTTTGTTGAGAGTGGACAAAGATCTGGCAAATAGAGTATAACCTGGGAAAATGTAAAGTTGTCCATTTTGGAAGAAATAAAAAAGCATATTATCTAAATGTTGAGAGGCTGCAAAATCTGGGTGTCCTAGAGCATGAATCACAGAACATTCATATGCAGGTACAGCAACTATTCAGGAAAGCTAATAATGTAATGTTTTATTGTGAGGAGAATTGTATCCGTGAGTGGGGAGGTTACGCTTCAGTTATAAAACATTGGTGAGATTGCACCTACAGCATTGTGTATGGAAAAATATTAATGCTTTGGAAGCAGTTCAGAGAAGATTTGCTAAAAAAATACTTGAATGAGTGGATTGCCTTTGAGGAAATGCTAGACAGGTCCAATCTACATCCTCAGGAACCTAGCAAAGTCAGAGGTGACTTAATTGAAACATACAAGATCCTGAGGAGACTTGACTGGTTGAATATGGGACAAATGTTTCCTCTTGTGGGAAAATCTAGAATTAAGTGTCACAGTTTAAAAATAATGGATTGCTTGTTTAAGACAGAGTTGAGGAAAATCATATTTTCTCTTCAAGGATTGTCTTTGGACTTCCGTCCCTCAAAAACCAGTGGATACAGAATCTTTAAATACTTTTAAGGCAGAGACAGATTCTTGATTACAAAGGGGATGAAAAATTATCGGGGAATGCAGGAATGTAGGCTTGAGGTTAAAATCATTTAAGCCACAGTTGGCTTCTCTTGTTCTATGCCACATTCATATGTTCTTAATGGTTTTTGTTGAAAGGATTTTCTTCAACATTTGAAGGATGAAACTCATGTTAGCACATGTTTTGGGTTATTTAGAGAGGAAGACTTCCAAATTACAAACAGATTTTGTTTTACAATAAATCAATAATTTTGTGCTTATTAAATGTGGCTGATGCATCTTTTTATTCTAAGGTTAATACAGAGAGAATACAATTGGTCATCTTTGAAACCATGTAAAACAATTACATTTATGTTGTGACCTGCATAGGAGTGGAACTAGAGAATGATAGTGCACTCTTCTCATCCCAGCTGTAACAGAAGAATTACACCAGGATGCACAATGGAAAAACAATGTTAAATTGGAAATGGGAGAGTATTAATGAGGATAGGAGGACGATAGAAGGAAAGACACCAGATTTCTTGCATATTAAACAAAATGGCTTCGGCAGCTGCTGAGACTTTTCTAAAGACGAAACGTTTTCTCTTGATGACTTACAAAACACAAATCACGGCTAATAGAATTTGTGACAAGTTAAAGTTAGAACTTGTAGTGGGATTCGAGAAAGATTACGACAATGATCCGATGGGAGCTCCATGCCACAGAATTAGTTTACATATCCCATTTAGGTTCTAACAGCCAAGATGCTGCATTTGGAAAAAGCAACTTTCATTCAGGTCTCAAAACAAGCATCACCTTCAATTTCCTCTTCAAGACAATTACCATCCTGACTTGGAAATATACTGTTGTTCTTTCACTGCTGCTGGTCAAATCATGAAATGCTCTGCCTAACAGCTTTGAAGGCATACCTACACCAAATAGGCTGTAGGGGCTCAAGGCAACAGCTCATCACCAACTTCAAGGAAAATTAGGGATAGGTAATAAATGCTATCCCAGCTGACAAAGTCATCACGCTGTGAGCCAATATTACAAACACGTAATACTTACCTAGACAGTAACTTGGGATTAAAGTTGGCAGCCAAGCCACATTTGAAAAGGCTGAAACATGGAGAGAATTGATTCTGGCTAACTCCGACACCCCTCCAGAATACGACAACGGCCCAACTGGATCCACTCGCCAAAGAATTAGTTCACTGTATATTGCATTGGAATCCTGGAATGCTGCAGCTGTACCAATGTCTCTTTTATTTCTTGACACTGAACTATGGCATTGTAAAGAGTGAAAATTCCTGCTTTCATTATGCAGATTTCCATCATCTGGTGTCCGTATTGCATTGTGGTAGGATGTAGTCAGCAGTAGTGGCAAAACTGAATGACAAGCTAAATCATTGAGATGAAAGCGGTGACCACAGTAACGTGACTTGTGAGATACACCAAGGACAGTTGAAAATGCAGATTCTTCTGCAAAACTGACAGCCCATTGATTCAAGGATCCATCTGCATGTTTTGAAATCATGAGCACATTAGGTGTGAAGATGCTCAATTTTAAACTACCAGATGATTTATTTTGGCCAGCAGAGATTAACATGCCAGATGTGGAATGTGTCATGCCTGGTGGCTTCAGTTTCCCTTGTTGAATAGCAAGATCTACATTTTTTGTACAGGCATACATAACAATACTCTTGCTGAGAGAGTTTGCATCTCCAGTGGGGAAGGCCACAGGAATTCTCGAGGCAAATGAAACCTAGAAAACAAATTACACATTTTCAAGAAGTACAAATTAAATAATCATCCTATTTACTTGTTTAAAAGAGAGTCTTGATAAATGTTTATTTTGAAATCTGCAACATTGTTCTAAGTTACATGATAAGAAACAAATGAAAGTATTGTGATGAAATTTGCAGCTGTTCAAACTTTCAGTAACTTGCACGAAACAGAAAAAAATTGAAATTCCTTGAGATTACCCCTTTATACGCTCCCTCGATAATTCATTTTGATGTACCTAGATTCTCTCAGCTCTCATTCAGGCATTCAGAGTAGAGCTATGACTTTAAAATCAGAACTTACTTCTGACCATTCAATACTGAGATTTCACTGTTCTTGGAAGAAATTGTAGGGTAAATGCATTTTGCAATTCTGCAACAATCAAAACTTTCAGTAATTGGAAACCTAGTTCCCTGAACACAATAGTTAGAAGCAGAACGGTGTTTAACCTGCACTTGTCGAAACATCCCGGGCTGATATTCATCAAGCCAATCAACATGCCACACCAGTAAGGATCCATCCATTGGGTGGATACTAAAGAGCATGTCTGCATTCTTGTTCCATTCTGCTAACAGCACTTCAATTTTATGATCAATCATGACAGCCGATGAGGTCTTTTCTCCATTACTTCTGTCTGAAAGTACAGATTGCATAAATCCTTTGCGATATTCACTGTTTTCATCAATTTCTATAGAAAGGAAAGAATGGATGAACAGAGCTTAAATTTATGAAAGGTTAACAGTAAGGAGTTACATCCTAGTATGATTAAATACTTAATTGCTATAACACAGACATGACTTCAAATCTTGTGAACTGTACATCTGTAATTCAAATTTGAAGAATTATCGAGCGTAGTATTTAAAAGTATTTCATTCAAATTAAAAAAAAAAGACAGAACATGCATAATCCAAATAGATAACGTATTTTGACTTCCGTTAAACAGGGGGTATTCTGTTCATGACAAATACTGCTGAACCTATCATGATTAGTACTCAGAAAAACAATTCTTGTTAAATAAAACTAACTGCATACACTGCAGGAACTCCTCTTTTCCCAATTCTATTATAAGCAAATAGAATACATTTAATCTAATTCTAAACCTATGTGGTGAATCACAGAGGCTTGAGGAAAACAGATAGGATTTTAAGAGATTGCTAACTTTTTGGTGAATTTTTTTTTTTGAGAGGAGTTGGACCAAACACAAAATGCTGTTTTAAAGTGCTATAAACCAAACTGACTTGCAATCAAAGTAGCTTAAAAAGAATTCTGCAGCAAGACAAAGTTAATATGTCCCAGTCTCAAAAAGTTAAACATGAAATGGTGGACTGAGTAGTGTGGATCTTGCAGTTGCTCCTGAGATTGCTGGCTTATTTGTAAATTTACTTCTAGATTTCTTAGTCATTACATTCCAGTAGTGGAAGATATTTATTTTCATTCATTTTTGATTCTTTTACTGTCAAAAACGTTTCAAACAAAAGCACTTTTTTTTTTTCAAAAAAGGTTGTGTTAAGAGAATTTTCGGAAAGACTTGCATCTCATTTCTAGACTTTTTAGTTATTACATTTCAATTGTATAAAATTTTTATTTTAATTCATTTTTGGTTCTTCTATAGTCAAAAACTCAAAACTCCCCCAAAAGAGAAACACAATTTTTATTTTCAAACCAAGTTCTGCTAAAGGATCTTTTAGAGAGACAGACATGCGGATGCCTCTTTTTCCCCCTAAATTATATGCATAGAAGAGTGTTTTTTTTAAACATCGTTAAAGGGATTTTTTTTAAATCACGGAGGAGAGTGTTTTTTTAAACTGAGTTTTGTTTACGGAGCTTTTGGAGAGGCCTACATGTGGATGGCTCTGGAGTGAGTTTTTTTTTTAAAAAAGGATTTATTTCAACACAAATTCAGGCACAGCTATCCTGTTCTTTTTCTGAATAGTCTACTTATGTAGAAAGACTATGCTCACAAAAAGAAATTGTTTTGAATTGCCAGATCATGCCTTGAGGTCATAATCTGAGTGCCACTGCATTGTTAGGGAGAGTAAGTAACATTTACATTGGCCGAAGCAACATAAACACTGGAGCACTTTGACAGCTTACAGGCAACTTGTGCAACCTGAGGATTAACCTAATATGGTCTGATTGTTCCTTATGCCAAACATATTAACATTCACGTAAATGGAAACATGCCTTATCTATCATACTGCATTCAACTTTTTGGTTTCCTCAAGATTCAAGCTATCAGATTCGGAGATCTGCACTACCACATACATTATTGACAACTAGTAATAGTACAGAAGATTCAAACACCTACTGTATCATTCAACAACTGGGAAATGATTCGTAGTAGCTAACACTCAAATTTAATATTAAATTATAGCATTTAAAGAAGCGTGGTTATTTCCAATTACAATATTTTTAAATTCTAACAGTTGATTTCAAATTGTGCACAATGGGTTTGATGCCAACAACACAATGTGGACATTTTGCTACAATGATCGATCACTTAAAGAGTCATCAACTAAGATTAATATATTCAGGTTAATTAACTTGTATAAAGATTACATGCATGTTCGAGCCAGCTAAAATGAACAATACCATCATCAGATTTGCCGGCCATTTGTCCATCATCTGCTACAGATTCTGGAGATTGCTGCTCCAAGTTCCTTCGTAACTGCTGTAAAAAGACCTCCATTGATAAGGTAAAATGCAATTCCTTGTTGTTTAGCCAATGAACAACAAAAGGTCCATTAGTTTCTTCATTTTCACTCAAACTCAATGAAGTGATGGAAGGCAGCAGTGGAATGTCTATTCAAATGAAAATTAAGAAAACTTCAAAGACTGAATACTGGATAAAATAAAATCAGAAATGTAAGCATGCAAAACAAGTCAGATACACTAAAAAAAAAACTTCCAATGTTTGTGACAGGGATTAACTCACGTCCAATCTTACCTCTTCTCCCAATGCCTTAGTTGATCACACATTCTACCCTAAAGCGATCAGGCAATGTTTCCAATTCTCTATTGCTAAACAAAAAGACGAGTATATCTTTGGGGAAGCAACTGCAGTCAGATGCTTAGGTGACAGTTCGTTTATAAAGAAAAGGGTTGGTTAATAAGAATGACATGAAATCACGAAACTCACCATGTGCCAAATCCTGAGTTATATCTGAATTATATAATGCATGAGCAATGATTGAGTCAGTTAGGATTGTATTCACTGGAGTTAAGAATGGGGTGGAGGGGACAATCTCATAGAAACCTATAGAATTCTAAGACGAGTAGACAGGAAGGGTGCTCCTGACGATTGGTTTGGGGGTTGGGGGGGGGGGGCTGGGGGGGGTCACAAGGCTTTGAGGACTGAGATGCAGAGAAATTTCTTCATCCGGAGAGTGATGAGCTTGTGGAATTTACTATCACAGGAGAGTGGCTGAGACCAAAATATAGTGTTTTCAAGAAGAAGTAAATATTGCTCGTATAACCAAAAGAGATCAAGGGTTATGAGGGGAGGCTCGTTTAGGAAATTGAAGTCAATGATCAGCCATGACCATATTGATTGACAGAACAGGCATGTGGAGTCAAATGACATACTCCTATCTTGAATGAAATCACATCGATCCAATGAGGGTTTTTAATGCTATCAATATTCAAGGCAGTTGTCCTTTACACAACGTTCCTCACCGAGGAACGCAAAGAACAGTTTCCTACATTTCATTAAAATATCCAAATATTCACAATATATACATGTTTCATATGAAACAATCACAAAGAATGCTGGAGGAATTCTGGTCTGGTAGCATCTGTGAAAGAGAGAAACAGAGTTAACATTACTAGTCTGGTCTGACTTTTGTTCAGAATCTCAGAAGAGTTGTATTTGACTCAAAATATGAACTGTTTCTCTCTCCAAGGATGTTGCTAGATCTGTTGAGTTTCTCCGACATTTTGTGTTTGTTTCAGACTTCCAGCATCCACAATATTTTGCCTTTACTGATACACAAGACTTGAATATTGGTATACATTTTCAATTACAAAATTTGACAATAACAAACTTGGATATGTGGCAAACAGTAAATATGATTAACTCAATTGCCACAGAACATGAATAAACAGAAATTGCAGACAACTGGTGGATGGAATTTAACAGATCGAAATGCAAGTTGTTGCATTTAGGCACAACATAGGGAGCTGCAGTATAGGCTTAATGACAATATTCCAAAGAGTACTAAGGGAAATGGGGAGATGAAGCTCCATTGGCACAGGTCCTTGAAGGCGACAGGACATATGGAGGGGTATTCAGCCAAGTATTACTACATCAAGTTCATCTTTTCACAGGATAATCATTTCATGAAGGCTGTTTGAGCCCCAAGTACTGTTCCTTATGGTACTCCACTAATCGGAGTCCACAAACATGAGAAGAACCTACGTATTCCTACACTGTTTTCTGTCTGTTAGCCAATCATTATTCCATGCTAATATATAATCTCTTATCTGATACGCTTCAATCTTTCTAACAAAAAAGTACAATCTTCATACACATTTCTTTCAATTGCTCATTCTTCCTGGCCACTTCAATATCTAGTTCTGGGAGATTTCATGTGGATTTCTCAGTTCAAAACAGATTAAAGTAATTTAGCTTCCCTGTCATTTCTCTTTCCCTCTTGATAAATTCATGTAACTCTGCCATAGTAGACCCAATTTTTCCATCCAAACCTTTCCTTTTTACGTGCTAATAAAAGCTTTGAGTTAGTTTAGATTTTTTGCTACATTGCATTCACGTTCGGTTTTCTCGTCATTAGTTTCTAGTTTCCCTTTTGATGTATTCCAAAAAGTTCAATCTTTAGAATTACTGCTTATTTGGCAAATTTATAAGTTTTTTTTAAAATCACACTTCAATCCTGAACTTTAATATTGTTTGAATGACCCTTTTTGAGTTTGTTATTTGAAGGAATGTATAGTTGCTGCTAGTCATGTGATCATTCTTTAAGAATGATTGTCTACATACAATCATGCCTTTCAATGTACTTTCCCAACCACGTCAGCTGATTTGTGCCTCAATCCTTCATAATTTAACATCTTTGAAAGTAAAGTAAATCATTCTGAAACAATACAAAATATGATGATGTTGGAGTCAGTCATCAAGAAGTTCTTTTACAAGATAGTTAATTAACCTTTTTTTTAAACTATATAATACTAGACCTAAAACAGCATGCCCTCCAGTTGGTTCCTCAACACAATGTTCTAGAAAACCCATTCCTAACACTCCAGAAACTTGTCTTCCATATCTTTGATGCTCATTTGGCTAACCCATTGTACGTGCTGATTAAAGTTAACCATAATAATGGCTTTGACCATGATAAGCATTGCTCTCATCTCATGATTAATATCATGCCAAACATGACCACTACCTTTTGATAGGCTACAAACAGCTCCAATTAATGTAATAAGCCCCTTTCTATAACTTGGCTTCACTCAAGAAGATTCCACATATGGTTCTTGTGATTTCAGATCCTTCCTTATTAATGTGCTGATCCTATACTTTAGCATCAGTGCAGCTCCACCTGCTTTCCCTTCTTGTCTGCCCTTCCTGAAAGTTGAATATCCTTGAATATTCAGTTCCCAGTCCCGGTCGCTGTGCAGTTGTGTTTCTGTAATCACAATATATCTCTAACTTACATTTACATCTATCTTCTTGTGAATGCTACATACAGACAGAGTGCCCTTAACTTGTTTTTTTTGGCATGATTCCGCTTTCGAAGCGCACTCTCTGCCTGGCTTTGTTTCTCCTGTCTTTTCATCTCGACAGCATCTTTTTAGCTTCCTGTCACCAACTTCACTTCCTTCGAATTTGGGGGTTATACCTCAGCTGGTCAGTGGATTGTCATTCTAATTTAAACCAGCACGAGCAAATCTGCCTACGAGGATATTACCTCAGTACCGTTAAGGTCTGAGCCATACAAGCTTGTACAGGTCCTACCTGCAACACAGCCTGTCCCAATCCCTCAGAAATGTGTTATCCTCCTCCTACACCAGTTCAACAGCCACTCATTCAATGATTCAATACATCCTTTTGTTCTTAGGCTTACTAGCATGCAAGACTGGGGGATCCATGAGATTATTGCTCGAGGACTTCCTTTAAATTTCACTCAATTCTGAAATCTGTCTTACTTCATCCCTTTTCATAATTTGATGCTTGTACCAATGTGGACTACAACCTTTGGCTGAACCCTTGCCCAGAAGGATGACCTGCAGTCACCATGACATCTTTGACCCTGGCATCAGGGAGGTGACACACCATCCTGGAATCACATTTAATGCCACAGAAACACCAGAGTTGGTCATTGTACCATGGGCATGGCTCTGGCTCCACTTCCCAAGGAGCCACCATTTCTCTGGTTTCCAAAATGGAATATGCATTCGCAAGCAAGATACACTCCGAACTCCTACAGTGCCTGCCTTGTTTTCTTAGGCTGATTCCCTCTGCTTGTAAACTTCAAGTTTGCTATGACCATCTCCCTATATATCCTACATATGTAGTCCTCTGTCTGGGGATGCTTAACAACAACTCCAAGAGTTAAATATAATTTGATCTTTTTAGCCTAAAAGGGTATGGGGGGAAAATGGGAACAAAAAAGGAAGAGAATTGAAGGATCAGCCATAATCATGCTGAATTGTGGAGCAGGTTCAAAGGACTGATTTGTCTCATCCTGCTCCTAGTTTTAGTGTTTATATGATCAATGCCTCTTCTAATTAAATAATAAAACCTCATTAGTCTTCTTGATCATGTGGCATATTTGCATGCTAACATGCAGTAGAACATCTAAATCCTTCATGCATTTCGTGTTACGGGGCACTATCACCATGCTAAGTGGGCCAGACTTTGAACAAATCTGGCAATTTATGACTCGGCATCCATGACATGCTGTGGTAGTTGTACTCCAGCACAATCTTCGACCTCATGGTCAAGCATATCCTCCGCTCAACCATTGTCACCGAGCTAGGGGATCAACCCTGGATGAATACTGAGTGCAGAAGTACATGCCAGAAGCAGCAGCAGACGTACCTAAAAATGAGGCGTCAACCTGGTGAAGTTACTAAACAGGACTACTTGTATGCCAAACAGTATACACAGCAAGTGACAGGCACAGTTCAAATGGGCCCACAACCAACTGAACAGATGTAAGCTCTGCAGTCCTGCCACATCCAGTCGTGAATGGTAGTGGACAATTAAACACACTGGAGGTGACCCCACTAATAATCCCATCCTCCATGATGGAAGAGCTTAGTACATCTGCGTAAAAGAGAAGGCTGAAGCATGCGCAGCAACGTTCAGCCAGATGTGTCGATTGGATAATCTACCTCGCCCTCCTCTCGTAGTCCCCAGCATTATTGATACTAGTCTTCAGCCAATTCAATTCACTCCACGTGATATCAAAAAGCAGTAGTTACAGACACTGGATACTGTGAAGGTTACGAGTCCTGACAACATTCCAGCAATAATACTGAAGACGCGTGCTCCAGAACTTGCTGTTCCCCTAGTCAAGCTCTTCCAGTACAGTTACAACACTGGCATCAAACTGACAATGTGGCAAATTGCGCAGGTATGCCCTGTGCACAAAAAGCAGGACAAGTCCAAAATGGGCAATAACCACCCCATCGATCTATCACCAGATAATTGATGGAAGGCATCATCAGTGCTATCAAGCAGCACCAGCACCTGCTCAGCAATTGCTCACTGATGCCCAGTTTCAATTCCACCAAGGCCACTCAGCTCCTGACCTCATTATAGCCTTGGTTCTAACATGGACAAA